ATATCGTGACAACTACACACTATCGAAGCCAGGGAAACTGAACTCATGCCGCATGCAAAATTCCGAGCGAGGCCAAAACTTCTTGAAACCTGGATACGATACTGACTCATACAGCTCACGGACGAGGCTTATCCGTATTGCTTTCGCCTCAATTACAGTATCTTGAAGTATTGTTACTCCTTCATGGGTGGTATAAGCCACTCAATGCAGTTGCCCACACAGTATGTAGTCGAGTATCCTCGATAGTTCGCCGGAATCTATTTTCTGTCCAGGGTGGAGAGTGGGAATATCAGGGCAAGTTGCCTGTAGAAGACGTAACTCGGCCAGAGCTCGCCGACTCCAACCTTTTAATCCGGTTTCCACAGCGCGAATCTTTTAGACTCCAACTTCCTGATGTTGTATTCTGTGATTTTTTTTCACTTTTCTTTCAAAAGCAAAGACGAGAATTCATTTGCTGACATCAGATCTGTTTCAATAGAGAAAAACTAAAAACAAACAAATGATTCGCACGATTTATTGCAATTGTTAAAATGTAAATACTGCTAATAATAGGAATCTAAATTTTGAAAAAATTTGGAGAATCACACAGCATTGTTGCACCCTTCTTACGCTTGGTATCATTAGACTTTTTGTTTTTCATTGTTTGTTTCGTTTTCCTTTTCTTGTTTAATTTGCGCAGGAAAAATTAAAATCTCTCAACTAAACTACAGAGGGAGATTTGAAAACACCCCAAAAGATTTGGTCAAAGGCAATTCCTAGCTCGATTCGAAATTGCAAGTCAGACGGTATTTACAGTCGTTTTGAAATAGAAACCACTCGTTTTTACTCTTTACTGGTTTGACAATCAGTTTTGCGCAATCGCCTACTCAGAGCAATAATGATAGCGAGCGCGTTTTTATAAAATGCGTGGTAGAATTATGGTCAACTTTATTTTGCTTCACCTCAAACACATTTGCTGCTGCTAACCCCAGCCACTAAACTCTGTTCCCTATTTCTGAGAAATGAAAGAGCGGAAAACCTACAGAGAAGGCCGGACTACATTTGCTTACAGCTCATTTCTTAAGGCGCTTTTCGATTTAGTGTCTTTATCCAAAATCAAAGTAATTACAACCACCATTTGAACACAGGGGAACACACCACAAGGAGCCAATAAGAACAAAATAAGCCAACAGCGTAAAGCGTTAGAAAACGTGAGTAAAACCAAGTCATAATTGACTTATGTTTTGCATCTGCTGATTGATTGCGTGAGGATGGCGTAAGTTTTGTCGAACAATATTACAGAGCAAAGTAAAGCAAAACTAAAGCAATCTCGTATTACTTTCGACAATCGTTTTAACATTACTTTATCAAAGTTTTTTAGTGCACTATTACTCCTTCTTAGAACTATTATCAGGGTTTGCAACTGCTGTGGCGTGCATGCTTCATGTGGATGGCTTTTAAGGCATGCTTCCAAATTAATTATGATAACATCTTATAGTGATGAAGCAACTGATTGAGTCATGGAGTTAGCCACTGTTCTGAAATATCTTTATATTGTTTCCTTGAAAAGTCTTTTATGACATGTAAAATTGTTTTCCTAGTCGTTGCTTGGCTTTGTTACCCTTTCTATTTGTTTTGACACCCATCCTAAAAGATATTTCTCTGTTGCATCGCTCACACCTAACGCATTCATTTTCCAGATTAAAGAATAGACATCCTTCATTTCCATGAGCACAGTGATGGCGAACTACACAACAACTAGAATCTGACTCTGTGGTTGAATTGTTGTCTAACATCACTTGTTCGTCATAATGATTTTCGTGTGTTCCTTGGTCTCTAGCTGTGGCCAGTGCCTGTTTGATGGTTCTGTACCTTTCGACTAGTTCCAACACTTCTTTTTGAAGGTTCTTGTGGACATCAAGTAATGTCATCCCCTCCCCGTTTACTTGACAGTCATCCCACGTCATGTTTGTCATAGTAGCAGAACATCTTTCCCTCGGTCGATCATCGAACAGCGCCTTTGTGTCTTGCAACTCCCTTCTTACTGTTGTAATGACACGGAGACAGATCATCGTAACATGCTCTTCATAGACAACAAGACGTTCTTGTTTGAGGCTTAAATTTAAGCATCGCTGATCAGCTATAAGCTTCGCATTTTGAAGTCGTTCTAGACGAGAATTCAGTAGAAATGTCTGGTGTCGAGTGCTTTGTTCCTGCTCTTCTAATTTCATTTGAAGCAGACCGTATTCCTGACTCAAACTCTCTATCTCTGTTTGCTGTTTCCTTAGGAAACTTTTCATTTCATTGTTTTCACGGAATAACCCGTTTACTTGAGACTGAAGAGCACAGTTTTCTCTCGTTATCGCCTCTTTTTCTTCTTGTAAGTTTCTAACTTTTTCCAGCCATTTTGATTCCCTAGGTTCCGAAGCCTCGACATCAACTGAAGCCGACTTGAAAAAACTGTCTATCAAATGTGGAAGTTTCCTTTTAGATGTTTTCCGTTGCGAATCACCTGCATCTGTATTGTCTTTGCTCTTATGAGTGTAGTGTCTGTGTGCATTTTCGCCATCTGATGACTGTTCCTGATGGACGGCACCAACCAGAGCTGTCCATTTTGTTTCTTTTTCCGTGAATTTCACTTCATGTTTTTCGCTTTTGAGAGCTTCCTTCTCATTTGTATTTTTCTCATTATTTTCTCTGTAAGCACTCTCAGATGTAATAACGTCGTTACATTGGCTACTTTTATCATATTTAGGTGTTCCATTTGTTTTTTTGTCTTTAAATAGTGATGTACTCTGTACTCCTCTTTTCCATATTCTCAGCGAGAAGGATTTAAAAGAGTTTTCTGTCCTCTCCTCCTCCTCCGTCAAGTCAACAGGAATAGATTTTCTCTCAGATTTCTGGCTTGTTTCATCAACTGTTACCGCTGTAAAGTTTCCAACCGCAGCCATCAACAGGACGATGAAATCGAGCAAGTGTGTACAGATTTTTCCACCTTGACAGCGAGCATCTTTTTCCCGGCTTAGCATTTCCCGGCAATCATGCCGAGTAGAGTAATTACAAATTTCTTGTGCTTTAGAGGTTTCTACTCTGGTGCCATTTTGCGACAAGCTGTTATTACTAAATCGAACTGAGATCTTGGATATCAAATCACACAGTACGTTTTCACCTCCTGGGAAAAAACTCTTGGCAAACTTGGCTGCGTCTTCAGAAGCGTCTTCTGGAGAAGCGAGAAACGAACGTAAAACATCGGACACTCTAACAATATCTGTACACTTAAGTTCGTTGTTGTCATTCATAGCAAAGGAGTACGTCTCCATGCCAAAAAATTATGTCCCCCACTTGTTATCCTCGGTTGGTCGATTTTAAGCTTTCTTGATCTGATTCAGTTTGCACCCTAACTTCCGCGATATTTCCACACAGGCTTGACGAAAACTTTTACCTCCAACTCTCGGATCACGATAAACCAAACATTGCTTCAAAATGTCTCTTGAAAGCATAATATTATGGTCGCCATTAACATAACAGAAACACGCCGTTCAGAGGTCCTCTCCGTTAAATTATTTACAGTTGCCCGACGCTTCAAACAGAGAGCAACAACGATGTGTATTTTGGACTCGTCAGTCTGCGGCTTCAAACTAATTCTAAAACACAATGCAAAAACAATACGATACGTGAGCAAAGCAGGTTGTCACACGCAAATACTTTATAAACTTGTCAAGTTGCCAAAGAAACGAAGAACTGAATATGTCAGACTCTACTTGAATGGAGCAGAAACATAAGTTTTTATAGGCCACTGATGCACTAAACAGCAACAAAACCGGGCGAAACGAAATTTGAATTGTCAGCATAGCATTTCGATTAGACCGATGCCTCTGTAACAGGTGAACTCTAATTGATTTGTTTTTTTTTTCTTTTTAAAAATGGTAACGTATCGGGATTTACTTTAATTTTTCCCAGCTAATTTCAAATCGAAATAATAAAAAAAACCCTGTGTCGTACTTTGTGCTGTATGACTTTTCCCAACTGTCAATTAGTTTTACGTGAGTCTAAACTAGCCAGAGCATTAAATTGCTTCGCTCGTTAAAGAATAATACAAATGGTGCTTAAGTAAACACTACAAGTTTTACAGTTTGAATGAATCAAGTCACTAATGAATTTTGTTCATTATTCTCAGAGGAGTTTAGTGAGGACTATTTTTATTACACGTGTTTTGTGATTTATGGGAAAAAAATGATGTGAAATCAAGTCTAAGTTTAAGGTGAGTCGTGATGAACTGCAGCTGTGAATCTGAAAAATAATAAAATAAACACTTGTGCTGCGTGACCTTCGTGATGAGAACTCCCCGTCAGGTCTCTCCTCGGTAAAAGACTTCACTGAGACCGGCTCAAAACACTGAGGTAGTATCATTTATATCGCGAAGACGTACTACTCAAGCTAGATATCTCTTTTGCAACAATGGTTTTTGGTGGGGAAAAATCGGATCAGTGTGCCAGAAAATCGCATTGAAAGTGTTATCCAGAATTTTTGTCCACCGTTTGATTAAAATTAGGTGGATGCATTGGATTGGTGACGTTACCATTCGCCTTGCTACTCAGTACTGTCTCTAAACTAAAAACCGATTTTATCTCGAGAGTTTTAAAAACCAGACATTATGTATATGAATTGTCAGAGGGGGAAGGTAAATTTTAATTTTTTCATTCCCTTTCTTCGATAGAATAGAATGCTCGGTTCTATCTAATTACGAGTTGGAAGTACTCCTTTCTTAATTGATAAACTAGTACGACACTGTAACACACTTTTAACTTTTCATATTCAAGTCTTGAATCAATGGGGAATTTTTAATACGTGTTTTCTTGCACCTGAGGCAGCTTGTTTTTCCTGTCTATTTTTGAGCCTTAATTATAGCTCCTTGTGATATTTTCTTCTGCTCTGATTGGCTATTGTGAGTACTTTTGTTTTTCCCGTGCCTCGTGTCATCAGAGATCTGGGATCTGGGACCTGGGATGACCCTGGAAACGAGACTATAAACAAATCTTAACGACAGAAATGAGGTCTGAGTAAGGCGTAGCGGAGAGATGCCTTTCTTCAAAAGAAGCAACAAACCCCCTAAAAGAAGACTTGATGCAGGGAATACAAGTTTAAGCAAGTCTAATTTAAGTCTCGCTGGAACTGGCGAGCTTGGTGAATCAGGCAATAATGCTCTCGTAAAATTAAAACTGGGACGGCACGAGTTGAGTTTTCAAGATGGCGACTGGATTGCGGGTAAGTTATGAAAAGAGTCGTTCCCTGTAGAGTTTTGTGAAGAGATTACATCGAGAAGAAACTTCCATCTACTTTTTAAAGCTTTATTCCCGTATTGGATCAGCCTTTAACTGGTTCAGCCTAGTGGTTTGCGATGGTCCGCAATTCAAATTGTAGTGGTCGAATTATTTGGTTTGAATTTTCAAACTTTAATTATAAGTGGATAAATATAATTTCTACCGCGGTCCCAATATACTTGTATTTGAAATCACCTTAGTGTAGAAATGAAATTCCTTGCATTTCCGCATTTTCTTGAATCAGATTCTTTTTTTCGCCCCAGGGAATGTCGAGGTTATTCATCTATTGATCATCATTGTCATCATTAATCTCATTACAATTTGAACGCCAGCTTTTCTTCACCTAACTCAACTTTGAGTCGTAAATTTTTCTACCCTATATACTACTTCACTGTTTTTAGAGCCAGGATCACAAAGTAGTTCTAAAGATGGAGCAGAAGTTAGCAGGTTACAGAGAGAGAATTCACAGCTTAAGGAGGAGAACAATTACCTAAAGTACAAGATTGAAGTCCTATTAGACATGGTGAGTTAAGGACTGCTGCATGCGTGTGTGACTTTCTTATTGCTTGAACCAGACTGTGTACAATTTTCAATTAAATTCCAATTTTTTCTGATCAACAGACCTCTTTAGTTTATATGGTTTGGTTTTTTGATGAAAATCCTGAGGAAGTCCCCCCCCCCCTTTGTCTTTTGTAAATTATGTGTACATATGCTTGTGAATAAGAAGAAATTTGAAAGAAACAGTTCTCTAGAGTACTGAAATGACTTATCATGGGAAACAAAACATACAAACTGTGGAAACTTTAATTTTTTCAGTGGTCATGCAGGTAGTTCTTAAACAAAAGTACATTTAATGATTGGCTTTATCTTTGACTTTTTTGATTTTCTGAACTCACTCCCTCTTAGTGACACCCACCATGTTTCCTTTATTTCATTTGCAGATGGCTGCCAGCAATGCTGACTTGAATGTAATGGAGAAAGAACTTGACACTTTGCAAAGTCAGAAACAAGGCCGCAGAGTAGCAAAGTAGCAATTTTAGATGCTGCTAACTTTTATTTATCAGAGTATTTTATTAGTAAATGAATTTACTAAATTCAGGTTTCCTACTTGTAATTGATAGCCACAGAGTAACAAAGTTTAGTCAGAGCTGTATGTATATACATTTGTATTTGAAAATAAAGATCAATTGTATTACAAGGTATATGGATTTCCAGTCCATTCACACCTCACAGAACAAAGTAGTAGTGGGACAGGCCATCATTAGCATCAAATTTCTTTGCAAAAGCAAAGTAGAGATATTGGCAGATTGAATTGGAAATGGCTAAATTGAATTGGTAAATCTATCCTTAAACCCTTTAACTCCCATTAATGACCAGAACAGAATTTCTCCTTACAATGTCAACTGCATAAGTGATGAGAATAAAGAAAAATATCAATTTGGGGTTAATTAGTTGACCCAAGACTAAATTCTCTAAACTAACATGAGAATTGTGTGGTTGACAGTATGGAGAATTACAAATTTGATCTGGGAGTTAAAGGGTTAAACGCACTAAAAAGATGTTTTAAGATTATTGTTTTCTAACATGTCTATTCTGGTTGAATAGTTTCAAGAAATATCTTCTTTTGGCTGTCCTTCTGGTTTTTTTTTTTATCTCTGTCTACTTCTATTTTAAAGTGTGATGCATGATTTTGAACTGACACAATGAAAAGAAAATGGTGTCTCCAGGATTAATCCTGAGGATTTTATATAAATATTATTTCAGTTGATTAGCTTGCCTGTACCTGCCCCATTATGCAGTGAAAACCTTTGAAATCAAAGTTAGACTACTGTCAGTAATAGCTTACTTTACAGAGAGGTTAGAGCACATGATATACTCAAGAATACCTAAATTGCCATTCTCTTGAAAAGGTAACACCCGGTAGGAGTGACTACCTGTTGTTAATGCTTAGAATTAGGCTACATACAGTCATTAACTTATTAATGTTAGTCATTAATGCACTGGCAGAGGCTTTTCCTATTAAGTTCTTGATATCGTTCTAATCATTTCAACTGCTATGTTGAAAAGAATTAACAAACAATTGAACACAATACATTATTATGGTCCTTGTTAAAAGTTATAACAGCATAATTACTTCTTTTTCAAAATATCACAATTGTTTAATGATTTTGAAATAACCTTTTTTACCAAACTCATCATAAATTTTTCTGTATAAAATTAATAAAAAATTTTATTTTGCAAAATTTGGCCTGTGAAGGTCCACAAAAACCTCAAGGTAGGACTTGCCTTATTTATCAAAGTAAGAAAGAAAGGGAGGAAGAGCGGAAAACTTTGAGTAGTGGTGACTGTTTTTGTTTTGCTACTGTCACTTACAATCATTTAAAGTGATACTGCTGTTTTGTGTAAACAATAACAAATCAGTCTTTCTCTGGTCTCTTAAGTGACATTTACCAATTCAATTGAAAGACAAAACAGTACCAAAACTTCAAAGTTTCAGACAAGATGCAGATTTGTAGAGTGGTGGTTAAGAAAAAAAAAAAAAATACCATGTACGGTTCGACCTCGATTATCAGTACTTTGCATTTATCTGGACTTGTTTCTCTGGTCCCAGGTGGTAGTTTGAAACAAACTGATTTACAGCAATTTAGGTTGATGTAAAACATTGTTGGATAGCCTAAATAACTCTTTGCGCAATAAAGATTTAACAATGTGCGTCAATCCTTGCATAACATTGTTTACTGGTATATGATACAAATTTACTTCTAACTAGTGACTGAAAACTGTGCTTAAATAGTACAAGGCGTTTTTTGCAGCTTTCTCATGTGCTGCTTGTTTTTTGTGGCCCATTCCACCACATACTGTTGGTGGTTTTGTATCAAGCCTCACGAAACACATATAATTGCCATCATATCCTTTTTCTGGCAAGTCATGATAAGTTACAGTAAAGCCTGATGTTTTTCCTTCGTCTTCAAGAGCTGAGCAAAACTCGTGACTAACACTGGTCTCTGCATCAACAACAGAAGGTGGAGTACTGCAATGATGGGACACTGTGTTCAAACAAGGTTCCTCAGTTTCCATTTTATCATATAAATCGCTTGAAAGAAATGGAACTGGTGAGTTAGACTGGCTACTTCTTGAGGGACTTGACCCTGATAGAGGGCTTAGTCTAGAGTGCTTGTCAGGAGACTTCCTTAATGGGCTTGATGATCCATTTTTGTGTGCACCTACTGGAGATGAACCCTAGGGAAAAATAATTACAATTACTATTTTGATTCACTTTCATTTAAAATAAGATCAACAATAGCTTTGGCTTTAATACTAAAAATAACTAGGTGTTTTCAACTGAAACTAAATAAAAGAAAAAAAAAAAGAAAGTGGTTTCTAAAGATGATCTTTGCATGTTTCAGTAGTGCTTTGTAGTGCAGCAATACATACATTAAATATTGCTTTCAGTTTTGTGGATTATATTGGATGCACAGGACTCAATGTATTGAAAAAAGTAACCTTTCAAATCCAGCACTTGAAAGGGAGAAACTATTTTGTATCTGCACTAAATTGTCAAAATTAATTTCTCTAAAACTCTTGTACAGATGAGACACTTCCATAGGCTGTTGATTGAAGCCTCAAGCTGAACACTGTGAATTACAACCACCATTCCCATATAACAGTGACACAAGCACTAAACCTCACTCTATGTTCATATTACTTTGTATTAAAAAACCCAACTCCATGATCTGATTCATCCAAACAACAAACTGTCTAAGAATCGATCTTTTTGCATTGAATAGCTTGTTATACCTTGGTTACATTTTTCTTCTTTTGTTATTTTTTGTCATTTATGTACCAATACAAATACTCTGTTTTCCATTTTAATTCACAGGATTTTATCTACCTTAGGTGCCTCACTGATCATGCTCAACATTTTCTCTGCAGCAAGTTTCTTGGCTGCTTTTTTGCTGCTTCCATGCCCTTGAGAAATCCAATCTTCAACCTGAAAACAATCAAAGATTAATCTATTTGAGATGTGCACTAGGCACCCCTGAAAAGATTGCATTTTTGTATGCACAGCATTGGTTTTGCAACAATAAATGGATACACAGGGCTATTAAATAAAAAACAAATGTTAAATTCTTATCATTTTTCTTAGCCTATGTGGGTGGCTGGTAGAGGTTAGGGGAAACCAAGGTGGAAGAATTATTTCAATGACCTCACTTTGGTATAACACCTTCTGACACAGAGCAAAGGTTAATTTTCACTTTTTACATGAAAAACTCACTATTGCATTGAATTCATAATGATAACCCAGTACAAGCTATGGTCAAAATCTTCACCTGGATTTAAAGCCCTCTCAGATTATTAAAGCTTGGTAGACTTTTAATTCTAATCTATTAAATAGCTGCACCAAATGGCTGAAAATTGATGGTTTCAAAATCTACATTTTTTTTCAATTCCTAAAAAATAACCAATCAATAAATTATTGAAAATAATAATATCAGGACCTTGCATTCAAAAGTGAAGGTCTTCATGTGTGCTTCTCCCTCTTCCTGTGTCACATTGTAGACTGGTGGAGTCCAGTTCTTCTTCATACACATTTCTTGCAAGCTACCGATAGGATTTAAGTCTGTACTTGGCAAGTATAGGCTCCTTCTAGCTGGACTTAATGAAGATGTTGGAGTGGTACTTCTAAATGGTGTATGGCTTGGAGATCCCTGAAAATAATCAGTAAACAATTGAAAGAAGATGAGGAATGAATGATTACCAATTCATAACTGGTTGGTCATTTTGACATATGCTTGTAAAAGTAAATCTACCACCCTTCAGATTAAAAAGAAAAACTCAGCCCAAATAAAAAAAATCAAGACAATAAATAAGATAAGTACATTAGCAACATTCAAAGGTGTGGCAATGATCACGCAAGAGACCAACATTTACTACATTTGTAACAATTCATGGGCCAGTCAAAGGCGTATTCTTCTCCTCTATTTTACAGGTCAAATTGGTTCAATCATGCTGCCTTCAGTTCAAAACTGACAAAGAAAACATAGTGAATTTCATTTCCCTACCAAAACTTAAGAAAAATGAGAGAGAGATATTTTTCCTAAGGAGAGGTATTGGGAAGTTAGAATGAGATGTCATAACAAATTAAAAAAATGAAATAACCTGTAAAAACTCACAAGACCCCTATTTGTAATAACACTGAACAAAAGAAGAAGGTCTACAAAATACACAATTCATCTTTCATTCCCTGCAAAAACCATTTAACCAGAATTTTGGCTGTGCAAGTGAGAGTGATCAGAGTTAAAGTGGCTTTTAAACTTATATTAAATTGTTCAAAAGATGACATTTGCTTCCTAATTTAAAGATTTGTATACTTACTATTGATTTTGTATTTCAAAAAGTTTGAAATGAAATGGATTTGGCGAGGAAATGTTATTTTCCTTCCCTTTTTAAAAAAGTGTGACATCAGCACTTTTATAAAATTTTCAAAACTAATTATTTTGAAATATTGTGTGGTTAACCAAGATTTTCCCTATGAATGTTGATAGCCCTTGATAAAATATAGTTTGGTTGCCTAGTCATTGGCCGGACGAAATTAGATTCCCGACAGCAGGCACTGCCCTTTGACTACCATTTGTCTTTGTTTCTTTACTTTACATTGTTCCTGAAAAATGTTTGCCCCCAGCCAAAGAAGAAAAAAAAACTTTGTGTATGTATAATTAAATTCCACGTAATACGAAACAGCATTATTCAAAGTAAGGAATTTAGTAAGAGGATGTATTCAATTCTAAAGCTTGAATTGAGAGTTCGAATTTGCGCGAGGGAAAAACATTGTTGTGTTTGCTGTTGTTAACAATTATTCGTGTTCTCACCTTAGACGCTCCTGGTGAGGTTGTGGTACCACCAGTGTTACTTCTGATGAGTTCCAAAGCTTCCTTCGCACAGTTCGCTTTGGCCTCTTTTTTGCTGTGTCCCGATCCTTTGCATTTTATCACACGTCCAACTTTGACCTCACAAGTAAATATATGCGTATTTATCAGTCCCATGGCCAATTCATCCAAGTAGTTGAAGATCACAGGTTGTCTACTTTGAGCTCCTGCTTCCATCAACAAACTTACGGGATTCTTCGCTCTGTTTTCAGGAGACGAAATGATTTCGTTTATTTCACGCAAGATGACGTCCTCCATGTCGCAAGTAGCTCGGGCTCGACTAGTCTAAGGTATAAAATGTTTCTGCGTCTTGAATGTTTATGGGCGCTATAACTCTAATAGATGCAAATGTATGATCAGGAAGGATGGAGTTGCTTTCTCGGAAGTGTGATTTCCGTGAAAGCCACTTCCCGCCATCTTGTAATTACACCAGAAAACCTGGGTATGAGAGCACACTGGCGAAGCAGTGGCTGGTGGGATATCTTCTTCCAATTCGTGGAAAGCGCTCAACAGGCAAAATGTCGATGCTTTCGGCGGCCGCGTTGTTAGATGAATTAATGGGGGTCGATAGAGATCGAGCCCCCAATGAGAAAAAGACTGCCCTACATTGGTCTGATCCTCAGGTAATTTTTGGTTACTTTTATAGTAGTTTATTGTTGGTTATCTGTCTAGTTCGGTTCGTCGATAAAACTAACGCTGATAGTAAGCTTGTTTCTTTTACTTTTCAGGTTTGCAAATACTTCCTTTGTGGATTTTGTCCTTCCCAGCTCTTCGTTAATACTAGATCTGACTTGGGTTAGTACAAAACCGTATCTAATTTTTTTGTAAAAATCGAATTGACTAACTTAAACTTGCAAACCGGGATAAACCGGCCGCATGGTCTTGAGTCAGTGTTTTAATTACGAAGCAATGAGAGAGTCAGCGATCAATTGAATAGCATTAGAGACAATTAAACAATTCACCGGAAATTTCCACTGGCATTTTAAACTCAGTAAGGGTTGTATATTAAACTATATTGATTTTCTTTTACTTTTGTCTTTATTTTAATCTGTTACTTAATGTGAAACGTAGAACAAGTGAAAGTTTGAAAACGAATGATGTGCGTTATATAATCGGAGGTGTGAGGATGATGTGAATCATCACGAGTGAAAAATGTTAGTAATTTTTAGTAAGCTGATGTTCAAAACCCGTGGGTTTTGCTTCAAGTCAAAGTAGCGTTTGGTGTAAAACTAACCTATGTTCGGAAAGGGTCATGACAACGTCAAAACTGTACCCTGCAAGAACAATTTTTGTGTGAGAATGACGCAATCAACTCCCAGCAATGAAATTGCTTTTGATCAATGTTTCACTCTACTTACCGAAATTAGTAATTATTCATTCTGCAATTTCAACCTAACGTTGGTGAACAAAGAGCTGAAGTGCACTGTAACCTACATATGTTACTGGAACCTTTCAAGTCTCAAATAAAAGATCAAAGACTCCCATTGTATCTTTTGTTGACAAAAAAAAGGATTTTACACACAATTATAATTTACCTTGTATCTCTAGAAAGCCTTATGCAAAAGACTAAACATAACTTGCTGTTAATTTTTTTTCTTAGGCCCTTGTGAAAAGGCACATGATGATCGGTTGAGAAAAGAGTAAGTATTGGCAACACATACTTTTCTGTTAATGTTGAGTGTATCGTTCCGTAAAATCGTGGGAGTAGGGGGAATTGCTGATAACTAACAACTATTCACCAAAGTGGAGATGGCTAGTGGAGGATATGTACAAGGTGGCAAAGTTGTGAAATAATATTGTGAAGTAAACAGTGAAATAATATTAATGATCTTAATTAATTTATTCCTGTAATGATAACAGTATTTTTGGATGAATAGTAAAGGATCTTTGGAGTTAGAGTGCTCAGTCAGAGTGCACCTTCAATGCTGTCGACTGTTTTAGTGTGTACTGAAGTAGGATAATAATACTAGTTGGCACCATCATACCAAAACCCACAAAGTTTTAGAGCTGAAATATTTGAAAGTGAAGGAAAATTGGCTTTTTTGATACTAATTAGGAGCTTTGATGTTTTGGTAAGAATGTTCCTAAGTAGGTTTTTGGATGAGATTCTACTTGTTCTGTTCAAAATTTCTGTAAAATGTGACTGCTTCTCAGGGCAGAGCTTCCTTACACACATAAAGTAATGCAGAATGTATAGTTTCATCAAAATTTTTTCTTTTTTTTTCCTGTGTAGCCCTAGTACTTATACTTGTGTGCTGTTTGGGTTAATTTGATAAATTCTTGATGTTATTCCCTTGAGTTGTTTTTGAATGTTCTTAAATGGTATACTTTCAGAGAAACTCTAACTTCTACAATTTATGTCTTTTTTAAAACACATTTAGGTATCAAGAAAGTGGTCGTTTCAAAAAAATGAGGTATGAAGAGGAATTTCTGAGGTATCTTCAAAACATTATGGCAGATGTGGACAGACGGATCAGGCGAGGACATACCAGATTGAACCTCAGTCGTGCACAGGAAGAGAAGGTGAAAACATGTGCATTATAATTATAACACATCAAATCATTTGATCTAAGATTTGTGATACTGTTAACTGCTGTTTTGAATTTTAGGAAAATTACCTTCTCTAATTCAAATCACTGCTAGCAAAAAAAAAATTTTTCCCCCAGATGTTTGTCATGTTTTGCAAAATTTTAAATGACAGTTTCCATAGTTTTTTTTGAAAATTCTCAGTTGACTTTTTGATTAGACCAATTTATTTTGCAGTTGTCAATTAAGCAACAAATTTGAAGTTATGTCGTGGATCTCATGTGCAGTAAAGTTTGAAAATTAGTCTCGTACCTTTCAAAGTCGAAGGTGGTGAACCATTGTTGTCTCATTTCATATATTTCTTTAGTTATTTTAGAATCTGTTGAATTTGATGACAGTGCTGCATCTGGTAATCGATGACTTAGGCAGACTTAGTTCAGCAGTTTATTCTATTTGTTTTATTTTAACCTGTTCTCATTTTATTGTACTTTTTTTTATAAATAATGGTCTTTTATTTTTACATTACTCTTTTGACTTGCTTACAATTTTTTTGGTTGAATGGCTGTGGTTTTTTTTTTGGCATGCACTCTTATGTACCAGCTACCTCTTGTTTGGCTCTGTTAAGAATCATATGACCTCCCAATGGGACAGAAAGTGTTAGATACTGTGTTTCTGTCACAGGAATTGGCAAGTGGCAAGCCAGACAGTGAAAAAATCAAAATGCTTACCGAGAAGATTAATGCTTTGTTAGAGCAGGTGAGACAACATGTATACATCTTTGAAGACTCTGGTACTCTTGGCTTACTTGCTGTGGTCACATTTTTTTAATAATACAAAGTTTAAAGAAAGTTATATTTTTGTATCAGGTTGTATAGGTGTTTGTTCACATTTTTTTAATAATACAAAGTTTAAAGAATGTTATATTTTTATATCAGGTTGTATAGGTCTTTGTTTTACCCCTGTCATTCCCAAAGAAATAGTGTATTTAGGTTATCTAACTCTCTTGTTGGATTTTAGTCTTTTATTGATGATAAAAATGGTCAATGCATCAACCAGAGTTAGTTTGTTTTGACATTGTTTAATTTTTGCTTGAAGTCCTCTAGGCTTGTTTTTGCCTATCTTGTCAAATGTTGTGGCATGGTTTTGAAGAAAGAGGGAAGCAGAATAAATTTTAAAAGTTACAAAGTATTTGCATGTACAGCTCTTTTTGGCCCTGATTTTATCTTCCTGCTAATCAGATTGCAATCTCTTTGAATTGTTTCTTGTCAATTCAATGTGTGTAGGTTGAACAATTAGGGTGTGAAGGAAAGGTGGAAGAAGCACAAGGTGTTATGAAATTGTGTGACCAGCTAAAGAATGAGCGCGAGGCTCTCCAAATGGTAAGATACAAATATTTTAAATGTTATGCAGTAAATGGTTTGAGCCTAGGTGTAACATTTGATCTTTTAATAAATGTGAGTAGTCCTCTGGAGGTTTGTTATCAGCAGTGGTGACTGATGTTTTGATAACCAAAGCTGTCCTGACCTATCCTGAAGTCATTACAAGAGTCAAATGACATTGACTGATAACAGTTCTTTTCAAGCCAACAATTATGTAGATAATCAGACTACTAAATCAATTGGATATTTAAGAAACCAAAGAAACTATAATGGGTAGAAAATGTACTTGGAGCAGATTTAACCCTTTAACTCCCATGAGTGACCAAGACAGAATTTCTTCTTACAATATTAATACAATATCTGAGATGTGTGGTAACTATGACTGAGTACAAGAACAGGCAGTTTTTCATTGACGTCATAGCTTCAATTCCCAACGAAGATGTTCCTTGTTATTAATGGCCCAAATTCTCAGTTTCATTTATATTGGATCAAGGAGAAAAGACTAGGTACATCTGGGTGGGTCTCTTCTCTCATTGAAGTCACATTTGTAAGGGCATGTCAGATATTTTGAACACAGTCTTGGCTTGTTCTATTCTGTGATGCATTCTGATAGTCTTTAGGAAGATTCCTAAAGGCTACTTTTTATCCCAAAGAAATAATTTTCTCAATGTCCAAGCTTACTGCAAATCAAGAAATTCTTTGTTTGAAAAGGTTATTCCTTTTGTGGGCCTACTAGTGGTTGAATGGTTGAGTGGAACCAGGTCATTTGTTGTCTGGTTCAGTTTCTTCTTTACCATTGCTCAAAGGTGAGCAAGGACCTTCCAGGATGACAATATTGGATCAGTGTCAGTATCTGAGCAACTGAGCACCAACCCCTCCCCTAACTTAACAACAGCCAACTGATAACAAGTTAGGGTCAATGTTGGGTTAGAGGAGGGGAGGGGTAGCTGTGCAGTTGCTTTGATACTGACATTGATCCACATCATTCATGATGATTTTGGTGGCCTGCTTGTGGAGAGAAGGAGATAAATTGATCATTCAGAGTATCATTCATTTTTCTATAGAGGGTAACTTCGGAAAGGTTCTGACCGATTTTGTTTGTCCTTTTTGTTTGCTTTGTTTTACAGCAATCGCGTGACCTTAACTTAATGTCTGCTCAAGAAAAGCAAATGGAAGTGTGTGAAGTTTGTGGTGCTTTTCTTATCATTGGTGATGCACAAACTCGAGTTGATGATCACTTACAGGGAAAGCAGCATATGGGTTATGCCAAGATCAAAAGTACCATTGAGGAACTCAAGGTGAATTGGGCAATACTTGCACTGTGTCCCAGTGGTGCTTCAAAAATAATAATACCACCCCTGCATTGATCTTAGCCCTAATACCTATCTACTTTATTTGCTGTTCTGACTGAAATTTAACACTAAAATTAAAAAATTACTGTACTTCAGTCTAGTCTTCCTCTAGAACGAGTTTTAATTGAAGGAAAAAGGAAGACACCTCAGGGAATAACTAGGTTACCGAAAATTTGCCCTGCTCGCTCTAAATGTCCAATTCGTTGCAATGCATTTTACTTGATTCCTCTTGTATTTTTTTTTTCCCTTCAGAATAAAAGGAACGAAAGGTCTCGGTCTAAATCCAAAGAGGCGATGGAAAAAGATGAAGGTTCTGAAAAAAAGCGGGAGAGGGAAGGAGAACGGAGCCGTGACCGGGACCGTGACGGGAGAAAGGACCGTGACAGAGACCGTGATAGGGATCGTGACGCTCGAGGACGCGAAAAGGATCGTGACAGAGATCGTGACAGAGATCGTGACAGGGATCGTGACCGAAGGAGAGACCGTGATCGTGACAGAGACCGTGACCGCGATAGGGATCGTGACAGGGACAGGGACAGGGATAGGGATAGGGACAGGGACAGGGACAGGGATCGTGGCAGGGACCGTGAACGTAGAAGGGATCGTGATCGTGATCGTGACAGAGATCGTAGCAGGGACCGTGACCGGGATCGTGACCGGGATCGTGATCGTGACAGAGACCGTCATCGTGATAAGGAGCGTGATGGTGAAAAGGACCGAGATCGTGACAGGGATCGTGAGAGATCAAGGGAAAAGGAGAAGCGGCGTGTTGAGAAAGATGAAACGAAAGACGGAGATGGAGAAAAACTCGAGGAAAAGGAGAACGAAAATGGGGAAGATGAGAAAGAAGCCGCGGTCGAGAAGATGGAAGGAACCGATGAAGGTTACGACAACCAGGAGAAAGATAAGTCCGTCAGATCTCGAAGCAGGTGAGTGGTGTCTTTAAGGAGTGATATTAAATGAGAGCATTATGCAGAGATGGCAAAGTTTTAGCACAGTTAAGCCGATTTCTAATTAGTTGTTGATAATGAGAAGGGTAGACATTGTTATTTTGGGTGCTAACGTACAACGAGCTGCCCACTGATTAAACACCCCGTAAATTGGATCAAGAACTGAAGGCTACTGCGAAAGCAAAGCTACCTCAGCTCAGCAGAACGGAACAACAAAGATTGAGGTACCTCATTCTGTTGTGATTTTCAATTTTGAAATTTCCTCAATTCATTGCTTGTACTAAAGTCATGGCAGCAGCTATCATCTGGGCTTGAAGATAACTGGAAACACAAGGTACACACGCAAAGTTTGAGTTCAATTTTTAATTTTTTGTTAATTATGGTTTTCAACCAAGCTGATCAACCGAGGATCGTATGTAAGGTAACTTTCCTGTTTGTTTTTGAAATGAAATTTTCGTTTCTATTCGTAATTTTTTACTAAAATGGAGTCAAACGTCTCAATGCGAAGAATCGCTCTCTAAAAGGAATCGATGTCGCTGCTCAAACCGAGTGGCAAAAAGTTAAGTCACAACTGGAAGAGAGTCGAATGTCGTGATCATTTGAAAGTAAACTTTTTGTTTGAATGTTAAAAGAAAGAGAAAAAGAAACAAAAAAAAACATTTTAAATTTAAAAGTGAGACCTTGGGAAGTTAAAGAATTCGTCACAGCAACGGAATTGAAGGTAGCAGTTGTTGTCAGACTTCAGTTTACCGTATTAAACCAACTTACGTTTCCAGTGAGTCACTCAAAGGATATCAATCTCTACCGGCGGATCAGCCAATCACTCAGTCGACATCTTGTAAGAGGTATTCTCCCAGGTATTTTAGATCATCATGTGTTTTGCGTAAGACCCACCAACGCCTATTTTCAGCCAGCCGCCGAGGAATGGTTTTCCTCATACGCACGACGTTCTTATCGATTTAAGAGTGTACATTATTTGGTAAATTATCATTAGGTGTGTGTGTTCGATATGTTAATATGGTCCGGAATGGTTAATCTTGTGTTTCCCTAATGGTGGAGATACAAGATTTAGCCTTTTAATTTCTATTTCACGGTGATCATGAAGTGACCTAGAGGACTACAATTTAGCGAACCTGTGTGGTTTGTGTTGGTGGCTTTCTTCTCTTGATTGAGTAGTGTACGAGTGTTCATTTGTTTGCTTGATTGAACTCTGATATCCCATCAGTGAGGCGTTTTTTGGTTTTTCTTTTCCTTCCACTTTTCCACTGTTTGGGAATTTTTTGTTTAGTTTTCGAGGATGTCTTTTTGATAGTCTCTTTCTGTGTCCCTATGGAATCTTTGGATGTTTGTCGTTCTCTTGCATTTACTTCTTTGGGCGATGAAGCGAGTTAAAGGAAGGAACGGCGCACTCACAATATCTGGCTAAATCCTCAGTTGTTGTTGGTTTTTTCAGCTGGTGACTAAGGGTCACTTCTTGTTCAGGGATTAGTTCGTTGAAGTCCAGCTCAGGCTTGGATAGCCTGATCATCTGTTGGCCCCTCGGCCTAAATGGTTTTATGTCATTTACAGGTCACGTGAGAGAGAAGAACACCACGACAAGACTGGGTCCTCGTCCCCAAAGAGCAGGTCTCGATCCAGGTCCCCTCTATAGTGTGCAAGTCCAGTGAATCATACCGCAGACCAGAAAAGTGATGGAGAGCAAGCCCTGTTTTTTACTGAAAAGTTGTCATTTCTAGTAGGTTAGTTTACTATAAGACGAAAACATCTTAAATTCTAGGGTTCGGTTTTACGTTTAGTTACCATGAGCTTCAGTAAATTTATAGTGTTGCCAACCCGTAGAACATAAACATATTTCTCAGAGGTTCGTTGTTAAGAGCCTGCTACATGTGTGTGTTACTCGAGGATTTCATTGCAAACAATCCTTCAACTTTCCTTTGAGCGATGTCCTTTTCAGACACCCCTAAAAGTATAGAAAGGTTTTGAACCAAGTTTTGTCTGTGATTGGACCGGTGTCTTGAACATTGTGGAAGATTGGAGTTCTGCAGTGGCCACAGCATTCAAGATGGCGGGTCCATGATGAAATGAAGATAGTTCAGGTTGTTCGCCATCTTTAGTATCTCGTGTAGTTAAGTGGTAGCTACAACTTTCGCTCACTTATAATAAACCAGAAGGCACCTAGATAGTTCTTTCCTTCCTTAGATGGTCGAATCCTGCAACAAGATAGTACACTCTTGTATTTAGGTTGAATAAATCAATTCCTTTGGTGAAAAGTTTGAACCATTCTTTTGAGGAGCAAAACCGCAACATTTAATATTGATTTTTTTTGTTATGAAGAGTCATGGTTAGCACAATCTGGAAAAGGTGTTGAATTGTTATAATTATCTTCAAAAGCCCTTTCGTTTGGTTTGGGTCCTTGAAAGGTACTTGATTTTTTCTTCTGGTTTTTGAGTTGTTTAAATATTATGCACCTTTGCCCGGGGAGTACTTCAATTTTATGCGTATCTCTCAAGCTTTTGATGCGGGTTGTCCGCTTCTTGCCAGTGTTGCAGCAGGTTACGTGTACCCGTCTCCATCTTTTTCAATACGTATGTTGTGATTCGGCTTTATCCCCTGTGTAAGATTTCCTTGTTGACTTCGTCGTTGTCTTTGTTATTCTTTTGTTGTCGAGTGGAAAAAATGAGTATGCAGCCAAGGAAATTTTTTCGATGGGAAGAGCGGCCATTAAAGAGACTCGGCAGAGAAGCAGAAGCTTAGTAAAGCTTTACGTTCACGTGATAATTCGAATGTCTTAATTATTTTTAAAAGCAATCACCACCAATATCAAAAATAAATCAAGTAAATAACATTTTGGCATTTGAACGAAAACTGATAACGGGATGATCTTTTTAGGGGAACTTTAATGTAAGAATTGGCTGGAAAAGGACTTCATAAAAGTCAAGCTTAGGTGGGCGTGAACCTGATCCTCTTGGAAAAACTAACCTGAGCTCCACGAAATCGTAATTAACTGGTGGATCTGTATCGCCTCCGACTTTTCGTTACTTAGCTCCGACAGTAGTGTCCATTGCTGGCGGTTTTGTGAGCCCTTTGCGATTTTGCGTGCGCGGTTTTCGCGGCCTTAGCGCTCGTGGCCTTAGCGCTCGTTGCCTTCGCGCACTTAAAGCCGCTACCAATGCAGGTTATTAGTTCAGTTAGTAACACACAACTCGTACTGGGGAGGCACAAGCTGGAACCCCCTCGTATTTCTGTGATTGCAGTTCCTCGCATTATTGAAATGATTACTTTTCTAATTCCATTTTTAACAGTAAGACATTGATTTCGGAGAATCAGAGTAGCAGGGTTTTTCGAGAGAGAAAGAGAGTGGAGTAGGGGGTGGCGATTGAACAAGTTACCGGACTCCTGAAGGTTCTTGGCGGGACCTGATGCCATCTAATTAAGTTAGTGGTTGTCTACTTGATTAGTGTCGGTTGGTACTAACAATCAGCTATTTCACGAACAGATGGTCCTCATTTGCTTATTCTCTACAGACTATTAACTAATAGATAAGTCTGAGTTGTGTATGAGTAACAGAATTCTCAAGAAAAAAGTAGAATGCTATTGGAAATAGCTGATATTGGTGTCAATTCAAGTTGGAAGCAATTAAATAGAATATATTGGATACACCGTTAAAACAAAGTTTAGGTAAGACTTTGCGATTCAAAGTCCTCTTTGATTTCAGTTCAGCCACAAGAACTGTGGCTTTCCATTTTTAGCAATTAATTGCCATAGGTAAATCTGGGTTTTAGGGACGATATAGAAACGTGTTTTAAACGACTTTGATTATATAAATATCTTGTATTTGAACCGCGGATTGTTAAATGAAGAGGGAAGTGATCTTCGCAGTAATGAACGCTACGTATAAATCGCATGGGGCCTAGTAAAGTTGAGGATTTATGTCATGCGTTTTCTCAGAAGATGCGGCGCGACTAGGGCAATTTCTGCAACTTCTGAAAACACAAGCGATACTAATCCTTATTTTTAAGCGGAAACATACGATTACTTCTTTTACTAAGAAGTCAGCGGTCCGTTGTCGCGCGACTCTCCTACTGTTTTCTCCATTGATCGTCGGCATCCATGCTTCTGGGATTTCTTTTCCACTGTCCCTGTTAATGTAGTTAGGGTGAAGTCTTACGTGAATCGCCTCTTTTCCATAGTTTTTGAGAGATATGGAAGAACTTGCAGCTTGTAGAACAAAAAGTCTGTCAGTTTAGAAGAGAACAAAAATCAGGAAATTCCTGACAGCTAGATTAGGATCGTACGAGTGATAATTAACACATCTATTAATTAATCTCTGTCGGTTTAGACCGCTGAGCAAGAATAATTAAGGTACGTGCGAAACCTTCGCTGATTTAACTGCTTTCAACTGTCTTGCCGAACAGTTTACAATTACAAAAACTGCATATCCTGACCAGGAGCCCATAGGCTCCTGTCCTGATTGAGTGTAGCCAAGGTGTTGATGGTCCAGTCAACCCAAGCTTTTCCTTGTCTCCTGATCCATGGAGGGATTTCACCTGGATGGTTACAATGTACTCCTGACTTAGGAGAGTTCAGTCACAATAAAATTTTATTGGGGACTAGGGACGAAGTCGAGCAATCTGGGGCAGAGGCTGGGTACTGACATTGAGTTAAGATGGCGTCGGCGTGTCTCATATTGTTTTGCAGTTCCGTAAAGTTGCAAGTAAGTTAATTTAATTCTGTAAAATACGACCAAGTTGGTTAGAAAAGGCTTGTTCACACAACACTTCCCTCTCGTCCTGAAAGATACTCCGATAGCGAAAGACGTTACATAGATATTTACTTACAGTCTAGATATAGTAGTTGTATTTAAACTCTCGGTTGACCGAGTTTGACCGAGTACTGAAGAGAACACCAATTCATGTTCTCTTAGATGAAATGAAGCAAGTAGCAAATAGCCAATACCCTTACTGTACCAAAGAAAGTAAGCCGTGACAAATAGAAGGATGGTAGAGTCGAGAGCAAAGAACAATTCTCGTCACTCCCCGCTCTTTCTTTATCATCTGATTGGTCTTTTTTTCCCGGAGTGGACGGCTAGTTTATCAATCTTTTTTCGCCTGCTTCGGAATGATTTTTATGATTACACGCACAAAAGGTGTTAAGGCGCTTCACATGTTCACATGAGATTGTTCATTCCAGATTACCAAGAGATTATAAACTATAATCTCTTGAGATTACTTAAGAAATAATATGTTGCTTTGTTCTTCAATAGGAAAGAACATTTATGAGACACCAAGTTAGTTTTACCAAGAGACGATCATTGATGGATGTATTGTCTCTCTCTGAAAAAAAGCCATCGCTCCTACGACCAATACATATGTAACTTTGTGAATAGTGCATTTTTTAGTCGTGTTGTAATATCCCTTGTGGAACAGAAATACCAAGAGGGAAGAGAAGAAGTAAATATGTATTGGCAATCGATCACTTAAAGGTCAATTACGCTGTAGTTGATCCTCTCTTGACGATCATCACAGTTTCCAATGGAATGTGATTGACATTAATATCCTCATGTTTTCAGAAAATTTTGGAAAAAAATGACAGAAAACTAAAGTGCGTCGGTCAATGGAATTTTCAGTAAACACGTTTTTGAACCACGAGATCGTAATCTTCACCTGCGGTCATCCACTTACTACGTCATTTGTTTACTTCGCGTACGTGGAATAATTAATTTTTTCATGCGCTGCTGATGTAAACTCGGAGTATTTTTGCACAATTCTAGAAGCCTTCCAGAAGCAAGGTCGCAAGTACGCACATTTTGTCGGGAAGTCCCATCAGTGAACGGAAGAATCATTTTTGTCGACAGAAGCAATTTTGCGTCCTGATCATCCAGTTTCGATCAGGTTTTCGAATGTGTGAAAAGATCAAACAATCACGCTCGTGCGACACAATAGCAACAAAGCACTGAGGCAACGACAAATCAAATGGCAATGCGCGGTGTATTTCACGAACTAATGATAGGTATGTTGCTTTAAAAGTGATTTTCAATAAGTCTTTTTAACTTTTTTGGCTTAAAGAATCTATTGAGAAATCTGTCAATTGCAAACGAAATCTTCCCGTCACGCCAGAACACCGAAAACGCGTTTGTTGCGAATCTTGTTTGAATCACGCGTGGTCTTGGAGCTGGACTTTTCTCATCAAAGAAAACACTTTAAAGCTCTACACAAGTGCATAACTGTTCTTCTTTCCGGCTGTGAACATTTTTTTTCATAGCAACAATATTTCTGTCGTTTTTATGGATGAAAACATGTCACTTGTCACGAATGGTTTTCTCCACAACGTGTTCAACCACAAGAAAGACGGTTCGAGTGATCTTGTTAGCTTATCAGCCAAATAAAAAAATACCCTAAGATTTGCTCAAATTTTGCATTTCTTCTTTCCAATAAAACACAAAAAGTTAACTTTATAGGGACTGTGAAGCTGACGAAAAATCAGCAAGAAGGTGTTTGGGTCAATTTTCTTTAGCTCTGAATATTAAGAGCGAAACTTGACAGGGTTATTTTTGTTGTCATTTGCCGACAAGTCAACAGATCGCAGTGTTTGATATGTGTACTTTGTCTATTTGCAATTTGACACTAGCCAAACGTATACAGGCCGATGGTGCAAGGCTTCTATCGTTACGATGAAGGTTTAGTTTTCAATTTGTAAGTTCCCGACTTTCTTTTCCTCAGGCAATAAAGTGAGCCGTTATAACTCGTTAGATTTTGTTGATAATAATTCGCATTTTGAACTGAAATGGAAAAAGGCACCACGTAGTGTTAAGGACGAAAGAGGCATTTGTTTGGAAGCAATACGTGATCAAGGAAGGGGAAAGAGGTATCATGAAGCTTCCTGCAACATTCAGGTACTAATATTGTTTATATTTTGGTAATGTTCTCTCGTATTTCATGAGTTTATTGTACTTCGTACTTGAGAATCTCAAAACAATATACATTTAGACGTTTTAAATTGAATTTCTTCGAGGAGTGTCGCAATGGTGTGGTGGGCGATCGACGATCGCTTTTCTATCGAGATTATCACAATAGAAATTCAGTCACGTTTTTCGGATGTAAACACGTGTACGCTCAGAAGGTCAGAATGTATATTGTGCATGAACTTGTAAATTCATCCATTATGTGCAAATATTTTGTTCTCGTTGTATCGATTGCTCAATAACACCTCCGTCAGCCTTTTCAGCACAGGCATTGGTCCTTTTCTTTTTTTTTTAAGTTGGAATGCATGTGGAAAGGTCACCAACATGAAAGGTGACAGCTCTGCATATTTTCAGCGTATTAAAAGATTGATGTTTACCGTGAAACTGTCGCTTTGTTGTTATTCCCTTTATCCTTTGTTCTATTTATTTGAAAACTTTCTTTGTGGTGATCGTAGCTCCTGCCTTTTTCCAAGTTTCATTGTTGCTTGAATTACTCAGAGCACTTATACGCATTTGACTTCATTGCTAAAAATTTAATTAACAAGAGAGATTCATGAGAAAATCATTCATTGGAATGTATAGGGGATATGACTTTTTAGGATTCATCTTCACTACTTAAGCATTTCAACCAGGATAGTTATTCAACGGAAAGAAATGAAAACTAGATTCTAGAGTTCCAAAAATAATTTACTCTCTGAGATCTTGAAAAAATTTCAAAGATCCGTGACCGGAACCTATAATAGACATTGTAATATTAAATAGTTGACTAACAGAGAGATTGTTTTTAAAATAATTGATTAGTTTTTTTAGGGTTGAATTAAAGCGCACAGGTTCTTAAATGTATGCATCCGAATGATTTTAAATTTTATTGTCTCTTGAGGTGATACTAATGTTACGACCCACAAAATTAGATAAAGTTCAGAAATAATGGTGTGCAGTAGAATGTGACTCGAAATTGATCTTAAGCTGGACAAATTTAAACTTAAATAACCTCTCTTAGAACAAATCGTACGAAGAGTCTGAAATTTTGTGGTTAAAATGACAATGAGTTTACCACAACAACTTTTTGGTTGAAAATTCACACAATTTGTTGGGCCACACTCAACTAATAATTGTATTAAAACTTCATTCATTTTTCTCCTGCTAGAAATACTGTTACATGTTGCTGCCTTAATTTTGTAACTTAACTGAGAGCACTTTTTGGGATTTTTGGATTGATCTTGAACACTAGTTATTGCATCTTGAAATTTACTCAAAAAGTCACTTTCTCATAAATTGAAGGACGTAAGTTTCCTTCTTACAAATCTAGTTTTTTTTCCTTTGACCTCTCTTGTATTTTTTCCTCTTCTTTTTCTTTTTTTCTCTTCCTTTTGCTTTCATTTTTCAAACTCCTTAAAGAATTTTGTGCCATTTTGGTTTCATGTGTTGTTTCAGAGTCCTTACCCAACAGTGATAGGTGATTTCATCACATCCCCTTTATTCCTTCATTTCTTCATTCCATTGTTTAAATTAGTTTTCACCATCAAAATACTCAGCAACCATTCTTTTTGTTGATACTTGAACTGTGAAAATTGACCAATACAATAATTTTTTTCTTTAAAAGGGACACAACCCAATCATTTGCCATAAATATAAGACAATGTACATAAACATGTTAGGTTTTTTTTTGTTAATTTTATTTTTGATACGTTTGTATGTTGTTGTTAATTATGAGCTTTAATTTCTTACAAAGCAGACTTACAGAATGTTAACCTACACCAGTAATTTCACCCTAACACCACCATCAGCAGCAGCAGCAGGGGGCAAGATCAAGATGCAGGACAGTAGCAATCATCCTGCTACAATGGTGGCCATGATTCTGCCAGCAGCTGTATGTTTAGTGGTGGTGATTGCCTTGCTGTTGTATCATTACTATAGGAGAGCATCAGGACCAGTCTGGATACCTAAGGTATTAATGAACTCAAGTCATGTACTTGCAAATTATGCATCTTGAAGGAATTATGTCATGTATCTATTAGAGGGACTACTGGTATTACTGTGAAACTGAGAAAACCATGACACCAGAAATATTTGTGTAAAGGCCCTTGTATACAAGAATAGAGCCACTGAGACATAAGAAAACTAATGGCAAACAGCCACATAGTTACTTTGTGGTTTTTAAGTTTGCTTGCATGTCTGGTAATTGTAGCTTGCAAGGCAGGCTTATTTTTGGTAAGCAGGTGCTCAGTATTTGGTGGTGAAAATTATAGATGCCTTATGCAATATTAATGGCCGCAGAAAGCTGGGAAGAGAAAAATGTGTGTATCAAGGTGGCAAGTGATGGTCAAAATGAAGGAGAGGGGAAGGGGTGGGGTATCTGGCCTTTCCTCTTCCCTTCCCCCTTCAGTCCACTCTAACTCTAAATCAAACATGGCAAGTCAAATAAACAATTGGTAGCTTGTAACCTTAATTGGAAGTGATAATATGTGAATATGAAAATGATCTTTGCAGCTATAAACACTACTTAAGCAGTAGTGAAAAGAAGGCCTGAAAAAAATTCAGGCCTGTATGGGATTTGAACCCATGACCTTTGCGATACTGGTGCAGTGCTCTACCAACTGAGCTAACAAGCCAACAGGGAGCTGGTCACTGTGTTGGTTCCAAATAAACCCATGAAGTGGTGAATAAACGGCTGTGAATATATGAAAGTCACATATTTGAACGCGGATAAAGACGTGAATATGAAAGCAATCTTCACAGTTATGAACATTACTTAAGCAGTAGTAAAAAGAAGGCCTGAAAAAAATCCCATTTTTTCAGGCCTTCTTTTCATATTCATGTCTTTATCTGCAGTTCAAATATATGACTTTCATGTATTCGCAGCCAGTGATAATATGCTTGCACAGCAGGCTATTGCTATAGGTCACCATATAATAGATCTGTTAGAGTCTACACATATTCTCTCAAATTGCTGAGTTTCACAGTTATATCTTATTTTTTTATTTTTTTATTTGTAATTTCAATTGCTTGAATTGTTTCATCTCCAAATTTGTTGTTAATCATGTAATCATATGAAGATGAAACTATGGTTTATATAGAGTATCTGAAAATGTTAGGTCATATCATTCAAAAACACACTGTTTGCGATCAATTTGTCAAAGACATTGACGCATTTGTTTCTTGAAAAAATATAAAGAATTCTAAAGAAACTCCTTCGATGATCTTGGTCAAATTAGCCATTAAAACTGGGTTGTCATGGAAACTTTGTGTCATTCAATAAACAATTTTCACTTTCAAAGGTTCAGTCTGCGTGGTAACTTTGATCTTCCTTGCTGCTCAGGCTGAATTAAAATAAGTGGTATAAAAGTATCAAATTGGATTTTAATTTGCTTTGAGCCTTGTTTAACATCTAGTTGAAAAAAATGCTGAGGTAGCAGTTTTATGTTCGTCGGAGAAATCTTCGCGAAAAAGCTTAGAATGCAAAATTAACTACCTTATTGTGTTTCATTGGATAGGCTTGTAGTACCTTGGTATGTTAGATATTTGTTATGCTATCAGAAAAGTAAACAACGACCTGGTCACTTTTTAACTTTACCTTTGGTGACACAATTTGCATTTGTATAAAGCTATTGTTTTGGTCGTACACTACTCATTACAACGTGTTCACCGTCTTTTGGTTTCGCTAGCTGTAAAATCTGCGATCTTGTCTCCAATTCTGAAAACGAAGACTCGGACTGGTTCTATTTTGTACTTTTGTCGAGTACGGGAAAATCTGGGCTTAATTTGAAATCGGAAAGAAGCCACGATACGTTTTGTTCGTAGAAGATCTGTAACCAGAGATGAAATCTGTCGGTACCGAGTGCTGCAGTACATTTGTATCGAGAGACGAGTTGTCATATAATTGGGAGAAAGATGCACTTTTATTCAATAACGTTTGACTTTGGAATGAAAAAGAACATTGGCAGCACTGGAAACAGATCACGCAATGTGTACGGTATGTTTGAATGTCCAAATAAATTCAAAAATGTCTTTCATCTGTTCACGTGAAGCAATGTTAGCGTCTCTCGAGATTAGGTAGGTGCGTTACAGTTTTTACAGCTAAGATTTTAACAGGCTTGGTTAGTAAAAGAAGCAGGCCATATTTACACCAAATGAAGAAGAATACATCAACGATAAAGATAATTTCTTGTGAAATAACTGAGTGAAAGGTATTTTCATTTCCATCAATGTGTTTTCTAACATATTTGAAGATGTCGCAACGAATATTTTTCGTTTACTGCTACTGAAATAATGAAAGTACAATTTATTTAACTTAATGGTTTCCTTACAGCTGTGTGGGATAAGTAGTTTTTCCAAGCAATTATTGAAAGGTTTTGGATGATTGAAGGTAAATTCAAAGCGATTAACAGCAGTCACAGCTTGAGAAGTTGTACTCGCTCAAAGGCAAATTGTACCATCTAATTAAGAAAGAATGACACATTATTGTAATGCTGCAGAACACAATTTGTAGATTTACATAATTTCGACTCGTGGAAATTTTTTTAATCTGTGTTAATGCTGTTGCTCTTGCATCAGTATAGACGACAGAAATGAAAACTATGGAAACCGCAAAAATAATTAAATACAATCTTTTGGTGATGAAAAGTTCACCAAAGTCATAGAATTTGACAGCTTCTCTATAGGTAGACAGGGAGAATTCAGATTCGGTATGGTGCGTAAATATAAAAGACATCATTTTTTTTCGTTTTGTGTTGAGCTCTTTTAATCGAAGTCGTGTACGCATTTGAAGTTTTCAGTTTATAGGGTAATTCTCAGCGCAGATTTCATTCACTGATCCTTTTTTTCTACCACTCAGGATGACCACTTATCAGTAGGAATCCTTGTGGTTTACACATGTACATCAACAGGAAAGCTTTTTATTATTTTTTCCAGCTTGCCTCCATACGCGGTCGTTACCGCACTATGAGTAATGAAGATCAAGCCAGTCCAGATAGTTTCATAATGGGATTCACTAACCCGATCACAGAGAGCTCAGTGGATTGTTTTGACAAGGCTGATGGTAAAGTTACTATTTTGGGTTACAGGCCACTCCGAGAGGACGCTGACAAATATGGCTTTAAAGGTAAAATATATGTTGTGTTTCTGTCAGGAAAACTTCGAAAATCGAGGGACAGTGCGCGAGAAACTAATATTTTCACTATCTTACCTAAATTAGAGAGCTCTCGTCAAAAAGGAAAAGGAGAAAAAAAAAACACAACAACTAAATCACTGGCCGAGTAACATACCTTCTCTCTGATGGCACTTTCTTGATTGTGCTAAATTAACAGTAGTGTGACGTTTCGTAGAACGATAGTTTGGATTTTCTTACTCGATTCACTTTTTTTGCTGTAATATGTTGGTAATGATTACTGATACAAGAGAAAATGAGTTGATTTTATGGATTTCTAACTTTTGTTACTAAAGGGTCCTTTTTTTGTTTCCGATGGAATATTTTTGTCGTTGTATCTAGCAACTATATAACACCAAATATCTTCGTTCAGTCAACAGAAAACGTAGCAAAATTCAAAATTTTATCTAGTTAATAATTAGGAGGTCTTCTGATCAGTGTTAGGGCGCCGCTCGTCACTTCAACTCATTTTCCATTGGTGCGCGCGCCTCTTCGTTCGCTCGTGCGCTTCCTTTTTCCGTCATCAATAGACACACCTGCGCATGTTAAATGACAAGTCTGAATAACTTTCAGGTTACAGCCAGCACTTCAAACATATGTTCCCGCGGGATCGTTTGGTGTTTGGTACTGAACTCGGGACTGGGTGGTTTGGAAAGGTGAGTCTAAAAACAAAAACAAAACAAAACAAAATCGGTAGAAACATCATAGTTGACCTCAAAACGGTTGTCTTTTCACGGTATCGTTTGGTTGGTGTGATGCGCACTTCTTTCCAGACATTTTAAAAGAACATTATTAGCAACAACAGGTTCTAAAATAATTGTGGTCTCATATTGTTAACCATTTTACAATTGAAATGACACATACCCTCCATTCCCTTGAGGTTTACGAAGCAGATGCACTTCGCGTTAAAACAGGGTTGAGAAAAACAAAAGTGATGGTGAAAGTAAGTAGATTTGAACCGTTTCTGTAAGACTATCTTCCTTCATAACATGTAGTTTGTAGAACTTGAATAAGTCACTGTGGTGTTGTTTAACTGATTCGTTTTGGACTCATTCAACTCAAGGAACTGCGCAAACATTCTGACACAAAAGCCAAGGAAAGTTTCCTCAAGGAAACGGATATTTTAAGGTTAGTAACTGAAATCAACAAATGTGTCTTTTCTCTCATTTCACAAAAAGCTGTAAAAAAATGTCTTTGTCATTTATTTCAAAGAGTTCGAAAGTTTGACGGAAAGTTGGCCTTTTTTTGGCATTGGTTTATGAAATTGGAAAGTTGAAACAAAATACTATTTAATGCCGTCTGACCAAACAGTAATTATCTACCTCAACTTCACCTAGCGTGACTAAATATCATAATTATTTACAGTGTTTAAGGTGAACACTATATGATTTTTATTCCAATTTTTCTTTCAATCAAATAGGTGCGTTGAGCACAAAAACGTTTTGAGTGTTTTAGGACAGTCAACAGAGCAGGAACCATTTCTGGTCGTTTTGGAACATTCTCCTTTGGTAAGATAGATATCTATGTTGTAGACCTCCTTCAAATGCTTATAGAAATTCTTCATTTGTTGAATATCTTTTTTGTTACCTAACAGGGAGACTTGAAGAAATTTCTTCTGGATCAACGTTCCAACAGGAAGCGGGATGGTGTTCCGCTACCTTTGCGCATGTCTATTGATATCGCCTCTGGACTTCATTGCTTACATGCAAATTACTATTACCATAGGTGTGTGAGTTTTTCTTGTGTATACTAACGACTACCTGCATATAAAGATTAAATTAGTCGGAAAACTTAGTCAAGAGAGAAGATAATGCTTGAGAAATGGGGTAACAAATCTTTATGGGGTCTTACTACATTGCTTCAGTATTAAACTTGCATTACGTACCACGCTTACAGCCTCTTACCGTGTAACGTGAAAAACTCGGGTTTTATTTTGCGACTAAGCGGTTTTCGATTTTGATGGAGCAAGTTATTGCAGTTTGAGACGACTGGAAGCAGTAGAATATTTACGTGAAAAGAAGCGTGATATTTTTAAATTTTCTAACTTGAAGATTACGAATGGACACCTTATTTGCTTGCAGATTTATTAATTTAATTGTGTCTTGTGAATTTTGCGCCTATTGTTTTGTGGGATTTTCTTTCGGCTTAAATTTTGTTTCTGCGAATGGACGACCTTCTACGAAATCCACAAAAATATAAACCCTGTTTTTTTCTGTAGCGATGTTAAACTCCGTTTACACCTGTCCCGAACATTCTGGCAAATTTTCCTGTTGTTAAATAACCTGCAAGCGACCTTTTCTTGCAGTTTGTGGTCGGGCTCAGTAGCTTTTGATCTCTCTGGTTCCTGTGATAACTGCTTTCAGCGAGTTTACTTAACTTTTATTTACTACAGCTATATTTTGGGTAATTGTTACTTAATGATTTGCAATTTTGTTTTAGTGACCTTGCTGCGCGAAACTGTTTGGTGTTTCCTGATTTGTCCGTGAAAATTGGTGACTATGGAATTGCAAGATGTAATTACAAGGTGAGATAGGGTCATATGGTTCAAACCTCGTGGAAAGCCTGAATTTTCTTCAACATTTAAGTTCTGCAATTCAGTAACACTTCTGACAATCATTCATGTATTTTAAGTTGCAAGTGCACGCTTATTTCAATACTTTTAAAGTTTAGGCCCAAACGCAAAGGCACTTTTTTTTTGTCTCAAAAATGTTTTGCCATCTTGAAATGTGCATTCCTTGGAGACAGACTTCACTTTATGAGATTGAATTTTATAACCAATGTCGTTGCGTTTTGGTAATGACTGAGAGTTTTGAAAAGCGTGGTTTATGTATGGTTTCAGAATGACTACTATAACAGACCACAAGCCCCAAACACCATCCCTATTAGATGGTTAGCGCCAGAGTGTGTGGCCTTTCAAGAAGACGGAACCTTGGTGAATAAACTACCATCAAGTCAGGGAAATGTTTGGTGAGTAGCAGTGTAAAGTTCACAGACTTGGTCAGCTGTTTGTGGGAAAAGGAGGATTCAGAGTTTTTGTAGAACTCGTGGAACATAAGGGGACCAACCAAGGCGTAGATTGGACCATTTTGTTTCTCATCCAATCGTTTACAGAGTCAGGAGACACGTGACGTAAGCATTATATCCCCCTTCCCTAACCCACTTCCTTTTGTGATGGTGTAGCAGACTTTTGTCGAAGTTAGGTTTGAGATAGACCGCTTTCGCGCCGATTTACTATAGCCATCAGGTGTGGGCTAACTTACTGCTCTTCGTTTCGCCATCGTAGAACAGAATAGAAGAGATTCGGTGGTTTTACGGATAAGTGGTCTCCTACGATGTAACAGAGAGGAGAGAGGCCTTGAATCTGTTGAGAAAGTGCGAGTTTGATATTTGTTGATTTTGCAGGTCATTTGGAGTAACACTTTGGGAAATTGTAGAAGGTGGTAAGCAACCATATGAACACTTGTCAGATGAAGAAGTGTTACAGAGTGTGATACAAGATCAGCTGTATAAGCTGCCTGAACCGCACAACAAAGGAAATGTTCTGGACTTACTGTAAGTGCCCACTGCTTATCTTGATCAAAATTTGTGTTAAGCTCTGAACTCAGAAAATCCTGTGTGAACAAAGTAAGTGAACCACTGATTGGTTTTGAGTAACGCTAGACGTGAAAAAAAAGTCATCGGCTAACTGTTTAGAATTATCATGTATGGCGAGCTGCAATGACGTTTAAAAGTCTTGGGACTTTTAACGTGATATAACTGAAATCGAATTCTTCAAACAATACCAAGACGTAATTACTGTTTAGTTTTACCAACATTCCAACATTGTTGGATTGTTGGGGGGGGGGGGGTGGAGGTTCTGTGTACACACCTGAATTGGCAAAAAGTGCTCTTTTGTAATATATTTGGATATAAGATATGTTTTCAATTATTGTAGAAAGGAGACCTAGAGTCTCAGAGTGGTTTCGTATTTAAATGCCTTCTATATTAGAGAGGAAGATTGGGGTCTTCAAGTCGTGGTAACTCTTCCCAGGGTCATTAAATAGTTAATGAGATTTTAAATTCTTACTTACGTGGATCCGTAAATTCTTATCACAAGTGATGTAATGAACTACAGCAAATATTTCGAAAACATCGAGTATTTACAAATTACTAGTTTCAAAGTTATTTGTGATTATGACGTAAAATGTTGTCTTTTTAGTTTATATTGCTTGGATAACTATGTGACGGTGGCATAGGGCTGAGATGAAGTCTCTCGTTAATAATAGGCTTCACGTCCAGCCCTCTACTTCTGTTACAAATCTTCCTTTCGCATTAAAAGATGATTAAAAAATGTTGCTTTTAAACACGTGTGATCTTAGCTTTAATGTAATAAAGGCATTTAGCAACAGCACATATTTTTTTTCGTATAATTTACGCAGGTTTTGCACCTAGAATTCGCGGGTAACCATTTAAAGTCCTCGGTTTACTCAGACCTCATCCACATCCCATTCGAAAGTGTGCCCTGAAAAACACCCTTCTTTTGCAGATATGAGCTGATGCTTCAGTGCTGGGTAGAACCTGACAGAAGACCTTCGGTTCAAAAACTCGAGTCAACGCTGATGTCTTTGATGTCGGGCCACTCTGTACCCTGTCTTACGACCAGTGATAACGTGAAACAACGAACGGCACTTCTCGAGAGTCAAGGTTTGTTTGGCTGTTACCGATATTGACTTGAGCAGAATTGGTATTTTCCGAAAAAAAAAAACATTGCACAAATCTCTTTGTTAGCGATATATTTAACTGACCGTGTTAAGTGGCTCGTTCCTAAGTTAAAGTTTGAGGTTCATTTGGCGGCGGACTACTTCAAGCATTCAGTTCCGCTCATGTTTTCCTTAAAACTTAACTCTTTGACCTCTAAGAGACTAATTTGTCCTGACAGCATCACCGCTGAATCAAACATCAAGGTCGTAAGAATAATGGAAATGATCCCCAACTAAAAAAGCTCGACTTTTTATTATTTTTTTTTATCAAATTCTCGTAGTCAGCACTCTAGGAAGTGTATGGAGAATAGTTTGGAGAACATGCATACTGATGTTAGGGTGTAAGGTTTTACTGTTTGACTTGTGTTGTCAGATGCCAAATTAATAAATTGCATGGTTGAAAGCAGAATTGTTAATTGAAAACGTCATTTTCACCTTTGATTTTAGCTTCTCCTGACACTAAAGGTAACGCACAGCCGATCGCCGTGGTTCGTCCTCTTCGCCTCGAACAAGATGAACCAAATTCTAATCATAACGGAGTCCACCAGATTAACTCTAACGATCATGAACAGACTTCATCCGATGTGGAAGTAACTATTATTTCTTCAGAATCACCACCGCCAGTCACATACATCGGAAATCCCTCGGAAGAACTCGGGGATTGTTCAGAAAAAGCCGAAAGTCCTTCATCGGAGGTGTCATGTGTGGATTCCCAAACGTCAGAGATCGTACATCCAGAGGATCATGAGTATGTGATGGTGCCTGGTGAAGTCATCCGTAGAAGAGGATCCATTTTGAAGAATCCGAACGCCCCAGTGAGTGATTTTGATAATTCCTACATTCTTTTAGAGCGAGTTATATTTTGGTTTCCACTAGTTTGGAAAAGAATTGAAAGCAGAGTTCGTTGTGAATATCACTGAGGTTTTCGGTTTGTAGCTTCTTTTGCTAATTCTTCGTTTTTCCTGAATGGATATTCCCTCCACTAGAGCTACCTCTTTACGTTGCCCAAAATCCACCAGCTACAGAAATAACAACTTTTGGACTATTCCTTTTTTTGTCAACAGTGGTGTTGAAATGTAGTGAGTAAACTTCTCAAAGGTTGTGAGAGGAAAAGCTGGTTTTTTGTCTCGTTTGTATGTATGGTACTTTTAGCGGAATTCCCGTCTATCCCCTCTGCATGAACATTGAAAATAACAACAGTGATTGAATAGAAATTCTTACACATCTCATTTATTTTTCTTTATTTTCTCTTCTTTCCAGTCAAAGCCTCCCAAGGTGGTTCATTTTCCAGTCAACATTCTTGCCCTGCGAACTGTTCACAAGTATGAAAGGATGGACTCCTTTGAAGAGGATGAAGCAGACGCTAACCCTAGAACAGATGACGAAGACGGAGAAGAGTCTGGGGGAAGCAAATCTAAGTTTCCTGCAGAAAAAGACTTTGAAAGCCTTGATTCAGAATTAACTGCAGTCAACGGGACAGATTTGGTTAACGAACCGCCATTATCGCCGACTGAAAAGAAGATTAGAATGGCTGCTCGGCGGAAGAAACTGCTCGAAGATGGCGATAAAGAGTGGGTAACTGCAGTGGAATCGAATCCAGACCAACCTGCGTAGGTTTGGAAGAAGTTTGTTGGACTCCTCTTTATGGACCAAGCAGCAAGGCGATCCCAACCGATGAGCGTTTGGAGATGGCGGCAGAGTGCGACAAGACCCTAACGATCAAATTTTGCACCAAAATTGTGACTAACGTAGTTTAACGGTAGATCGATAGACCCAGACTGACTTCCATCGAAAAAGTTAGTTTATTAATACGAGTGGCTCCCCTCTGAAACACTGCAGTATATTTCATTAGAGTTTCGATATCGGCCCCATTTGATTGTTTAGAAGGTCGATTATAATCATCACATGATGTGAATCAGTATTTTGGATACAAGGTTAACTGTACCGCTAGAATTCTGAATATTGGTACTTTCAAATCGAAAATACAATTACAGTTTAAGAGGAAACGCATCAAAAACCCTTCATTAAGTAATGAATATTGTGTGTCATATCGAAAATCCTCATGCTGTGGAAAAATTTGAAAATGTTTTTATGGGCTTTCATTTAAATTCGCCCGTTTTAAGCTTGATTTCGGTGGTAGAATTGTCTTTGCTACAGAAATCGTTTGACTTCCATCAAATTGATATGCACATGGTGTTTTAGTCGTATAACTTCTATTTCGAACAAGTTTGCACGAGTATTTTATCGAAAACGTGATTGCAATTATGTTGATCACATCACACTTACATTGGAGTATATTTTCTTAATGAGTAACTATGATAATTTGCTTAAAGAAAGAGAGAGAATTTATGTGCAAAATTTTAGTAAAATAAAGGAACAAGTTCTTTGTAGTCTTTATTTTCTAGTGTTTGTCCTTGGCGTAAGAATCAGTTTTCTAAGTAGCTTGATAATATGCATGAAACACTTCTCCATTCTGATTGGGCTAGAGAGATGTAGTTTTCTGGCAACACACTGGAGAAGAAAGGTAATGCAGAGCATGAAGTAATTTCGTGTATTGAACTTTTTTGCGGCGTAAAAACTTTAAAAAAAAATTTGGAAATTTTTGACTGAACGTACAATGAAGGGTTCGTGATTAATTATTTATGCAGATGACTCGCACACTCTGCTTTTGTATGCTTACGAAAAGCTGTCTCGAAAGGTTTATCATTATATCTTTGTAATTTTTTTTATAAGCTTTTGAATTGCATTGAGCTAGTAGGTTCGTCTTTGAAATTATACACGTACCCGCCCTTACCAGCAATCAACCATCTTCACGTAAATCTTTGTTTCGGACAATTATTCTCGGCTGTATTTTTGTTGAGAGGGAGGGACGGAAAGGGAACGTAAAATAAAGCAGTTTCTCGTTAACAAGAGACCAATGTCTTGGAGAATCGTGCAAAATTCTAAGGCTTTATTTACTCGCTAATATACAAAAAGCTCTCAGCTGAGAGGTTGAAGTGATATTCTGTTGTCTTTTGAAGCGCTGAAGCACAGGGAAAGAAAAAAGGCAACTTTCAACTCGCACAGCTTGGAAGCAACGATTTCAAAGCATATGGGGTGGTTCACTTCATGTGCAAAATTGATATGGTATCGCCGCTGGTAAGGAGCAATGTGTGATCGTTCTACAGCGATCAAGTTAACGTCACCGTATCGTGTTTACGTGATTCATCGGTTTTTTACGTCTTTACTTGGCAAACAAAGTGAATGGTGGCTGGCAGTAATGTGATTGGTAATATTTCAGAATCTTTCAGCCAGCGATGGCTTCGTTGTTTCAGACTGAAGCTAAGAATCTCTATATATTCTTGGATAATGTAGCCGAAAAAAAAAAGGATTTTTACATATTTGTTTCGTTTAATAAAATAAAAATCTATGTCACAGAAAATGGTTGCTTCATGGGGCGAATTTTCATCTCGGTATAGTTGATTGAAGTGTCGTAAAATTTCCACTCATCCCACTGGGGTGGATTAGAATTCAAATTAGCACGACCACAGTTGTTGAGCCACCAGCCAGACAGACTGCTTATAACGGCACAGTTTGCCAGATAATTGCCATCATTGTCTCTGTCACCAGTTGAAAATTGCATGCCATCTTCTACAAGCGCCATGTTGCTGTCACCGTTGATTGCGTTACCTATTGTCCCTGTCATGTTCCTCCCTACGCTGAGGCGGTAATTATCACGTGGGCCAGATATTGAAAAGTTCTCATAAACAGCATAACCTTGCGCGCCTGCGCTTGCCTTGAGCTCTATTCGCAGCTGTACAGGGATTGTTGTTAGGCGTGACAAGTATCGATTTCCAATCCAGAATGAGCCAAACAGAGATCCAAAGCCTGTTTCGTAATCCGACCAGTTCTTGGAGAATAACACGCCAAATGGACTGTTACGTCTCTGCACAACAAGCCATCCTCCACCATCTGTAGTTTGATCACAGTAAACTGATATTCCAAATGCTTGATCATCCGGTGCCACTCGCTGAGCACCGGTCGATGGCACACCAAGGTCATACAATTCCTTGCAGTTGCGAGCTGTGGAATATAATTAAAATCATGAAGGTAGCTAAGAACCGCAAGAACAAAGCTAGGAAAAATGCTTGACACTTTTAAAGTTTTGCTTCACTCTCCGATTATTCACTGTTTTTCTTGCATTCTTGCAAGCAAATTGCCAAATATGGAATTTCGAGCTAATTATCAGCTTTTTTAAAAACTGTTATTTCTTCGTGTTAGTGTTCAATGGATAGTTAAAACTCAAACGTTTCAGTGTGCCTTCGGTTTGATTAAAGGTTTCCTAGGTTTTCCTTTCCCAATTTGTTGGGTGGGATACTGCTATTAGGTGAGGAGTGATAATGCTGATTTGTGTGAATGGCTGACTACTCCAGGAGGTAGACTCAACATCGCCAAATGAAATGCCTTGCATATTTACGCGAAAAAAAAAAACAAAACAAAACAAAAAACAATAACAGTTAAAGCTAACATCAACGTAATATGTTAGAGTAGTTGGTCCATTGCTTTCTGTTCGTCATTTTCGGCAATAATTAATACGAACAATAGATATCATACCTTTCGGCCTTTCACATTGTTTACCGCGGAACAAGTTTGTACACTGACAGTGAAACATGTCTCCATGACACGTGTCCACGCATGTCCCGCCGTTATAACAGGCGTACTTTGCACACCCTATAGGCTTCTGTGGGAGGTAATATAGTTGAGTATTTTTCTAAATTCACTAAATACCATAGCGTATTTCGTGGGAAACTGCGAGCATGTCCTTTATTTTCAGTATTCCTTGCATTCTGTTAAGTAAAATAGCAATCAACTATTTTACACTTTGTTTTAGCATAGTTTTATTAGAGGAAAGCCCAATGCCATATTAATACCCTGACGAAGGGCGAACGTTCAAAACGTCACTTTAGAAACTCTTTACGGATGTCGATTTGCATTAACCACTCAGTTGAGTATATACCCCACCAACTCAGCACCATAGTTTCTTTCAAAACTTACTCCATTTTTTCATTTTAACCTTAGCTTCTTACTGTCGAAATTTCTGGGATTGTTATATATGCTGTTTAGGTTGCAAAAGTTATTCGAACCTTTTTCGTTCGTCGCAACGGCAGTTCCACCCTCAGGTAGTAGAGATGCAAAATGTTGATAAGAGCGGATTCTATTGAATGGATACTACTTTTTTCACCCCATTTTAATACAGGGAACAAGCTTTACCGATTTAAAAAACGGAACTAAAAAAAGACTATCTTATTCGTGAAATAACCATACGAAATCAAATTGTTAATACATCACCTTCTGTGCTTGTGGAAATCCATAATATTGAAAACCCACTTTCATCCTAAAGGCCTCTGGCTTGGCTTCTTTGGTATGTGAGCTGATCTCACAAGTGTGTCGCTGTGTGTGATTAACTTCGTACTGGTAATTATACGATTTACAGCCATCGCGACTTAAACACCATCTACCGCAGTCGATCTCATCATGTACTTGGTGCCTGATTTTTCAGAAATGTTAAATATCAGTATGTAACTGATATTCGTGTAATCAAGAAGTGAAATAAAATTATTTGAAATTTATGTCCTTTCAGAGATTGAAGGATCTGATTTCCGGCGACAGTCACATGCACACACACACAAAAGTTTGTCGCCACCTTATGATTTGCATTCATATACTTACGTATCCATTTTGTATCCTATTAGAGCTCTATCTGTTAAGAGGCAAAGAAAAGCAACAGAAGAAAAATTATATATCTAATAAATTGAGATAATTTGAATAGGTTTTAAATATATGAATCTTTTCTGCTAACTTATTTGATCACTTAATTATTCTGGATATCACAAAAACCTCTTCCAATAATTGTTTATAATAACAATAATATTAATAATTATAACGTCTATAATATAAGCTAAGTAATAATAACTATTATAATGATTAATTAAATGATAACTACAATGATACTGTTAATGATAATAGTGATAGTCAAGTGATACAGTATTTATGTTGATACTAATGAGAACAAAAATGATGATATCACAGATATAATGACAGTAATAATAATGTGTCCCTCCACGAGGACTGTGCCGTTCCGACTTAAACATCTTTTAGGGGAAGTACAGTTGTGTCCATAATGGCGAAAGTTGACAGTATACACAAAATATTAAGATACTAAGAATAGCAAGGCCCGTAAAGATCTCTGGTTTCGCGTGATAACTTCAACCTTCACGCCTCGAGAGGCAACGACTCGCGAATAGGATAAGGATTATACACTTCGCAAATCAAACTGATTAAGCCTATTATTACTATTACTATTATTATTATTATTATTATTATTATTAATATTACTGTTATTATCATGATTATTTACATTGATGACAGCTATCATCGGGTCTTCCGACCATCTATACCGAGTTTGTTACAAAGTGCGACAACTTACTTTGTTGCAAAGTGCGATAGTCTATTATTACAAAGTGCGACAATTTTATTAGCAAGTTTGACGGTTATTATTCACAATTCAAGAATATTTACAAAATACAATTGGTAAAGTTAAGATACGATATTTCATAAAATTCAAAATCATGTATAATACAAAAGCATTTAGCTTGAAAATTGCCCTGAAAAAAAAATTTGACGGTTATTATTGAGTAATGTCAATGTGAGAACACTTTATGAAGGACGTCTCTTTCTGATGAGCTATTATTTCTCCCCCCATAATATTGGCATCAATTTGTCATCAGCAGTGGAAATCGAACATCTAACAACACAGAAAAAAGCCTTGAAATCCCACTTAGCGAATAAATAATTCAGCCAACGAAACATTTACTTTCTTCGCAAGAACTACCGCGTCATTGGATTTTCTATATCCTTTTCAAAATCATATCGCAAATTCCAAATACACAATAATAAGGAAGAGGTATCCTTGCCTTTTTCTGATACTTGAAACATTCCTGTCCTCATGCATTGGTTCCTTAAGACTTCAAACTCCGCAACAGATAAGTCAACTGTGAGCAGCAATCCAAGAACAATAACTTCTACATGCATCACACCGAACTGAGCCTGAGACAGATTAGAACTATTGGGTTAATATTCAATTCTTGCCCTTTCATTGACATCTACACGAACACTAGTAGCGTGGCCCTGCAATAAAACAGAATCCTGGTTTGATCTTAATAAAACAAACAGTTTAAAATGTTTTCAATATTCTGAAAAGCTGGACGCAATCTTTTGAGTAACCAAAGGTTAATTCATTTGCGATTCTGAAATTTTTATTTTCTGAGTCAAAACACAAAATGTGGGATCTGTTTTGTTTATTCACAAGCCGAAAGAAGCAGGAAAATTGAAATGAAACAAGGATTAGGAAAGAATTTCCCATGATCGATGGATGGATCATTCGAACGTCGAGAGAAGAATAATGAAACCCAGGAACGTGAAATTTAACAATCGCCGGCGAGTTTGATAGAATAGCTATGATAAACGAAAGGGAGTGCTTCCCTCATGATATCTAAACGGCCGGTCCAACTGAACCTCTCTTACTTGTTCTTGTATCATTGTCAACTGTTAAAACGAGAAAAAATTATCAAAACAATTCCTAATGATGACAGTATATTCAGTTAACTATTTATTTCAGACTGCTATACGACAAAGTTTTGTAAAGTGTCATCAATCGTCAGAAAAACCCTAGATGCAGACTGAGCCTGTTTGATCGGTAAACCTTCTGCAGTCAGAGGTGGTTAACCATCTTTTTTTATTCGAGGAAGAGAGAAGAGAAACTTCCACAGGGCTTCCAATTAGAGTAGGATTCTATCTTTTTCATAATTAGAATGAATTTTTACGTGATCTGAAAAACAGAGTCCGTACCTACCGTAACAATAGCGGTTGCCACCTTACTCACACTGCTAAGATTACAATATTTCTGGCCCTTTTTTTTCCTTTCTCCTTTCGATTAAAGCAATAGAAAGCTTTTGACAAATTTCAAGCCTCGAGTTTCTTTTGCTCAATTGACAGGTGCGTTGGTGTTGTGTTTACTGTTTTTGCGGAAGCCGATGGACTTTTGAAAGGTGTCAAGCTTAGCAATAGGTGGCAGGTGAGGGACTAGAATTGACGTTTCTCTTACCTTTAACTGCCAAAACAGTTTAAACGGATTTTCAATAGTTAGAGATTGATATTACAATGTAAAAATGAAACTGATTATAAAGAGGCTGCACATTTTATAAACGCCTCCTTTTGAAAGAAATTTTTTTGACGAGAGACTCGATTCACGTCATCATAAATATACCAAACAGCGTAAAGGAACTCTCATTTTAATTAACATTGTGTGAAAATTGTGAGTCGCTTCATTTCATGATACAAATTTTTAAATTTAATGGCTTAGTTATCTTTCTCATTGTGTTTTTTCTCATATTGTTGTTTTACATTTTTATGATATCAAGAGAAAATTAATTTTTCGTGGTAATATATGCGTACTTATGCATATATGTATGTATGTGTGTATGTATGTATATATTTTTGCTTTTTTAAAGAATGCGCGAATATTATGCGTAATTTGTTAGAGGAAATCTACAACAGGATAAATTGACTCAGTAACTAAAACGAATTTCTGCCAATTGAAAAGTTGAAATGCTAATACGTGATATGAATTTAAAGAAACAAAAGATGAGAGCAGCGGAAACGCATTCATAACAAATTTGAAAGTGACAGAGAGTGAAGTTTCGTAGATGAAACCAAACAAATGTTTGTATGTAGAAACAGAAATTGCTTTTGTGACAGGAAGCAGTTTAATTTCGACAAGATTAGTTTCTTGAACAACTAATACAGCGCTTTTTTTTAAGTCCATTTGCTCAACACAACAAAGTACTTTTTGTTTACTCATTTACATTTTTAATTTATAATCGAGCCGGCTTCTTTTAGGTAGAATTTTGCAAGACACGTGTTTGACATTTGAATCGAATTCAACATGAAGCTGAATTTAGTTGTGCTTTTGCCTGTCGTAGCTTAAGTACGTTCTTTTTTCCTTAATGTCTGAAATGCATTCGTCGATAACACCGCATGTTTTGGGGAAGGAATTCCGCGTACTCCCAACAATATTCGAACGTCTGACCTTCTCACAGATATTTTTGATGCTCTTCATCTGAGTTCGTGGAAGTTAAGCCTTTTAAACCAGTCTCATGTAAAAAAGGACTTGCCTACTGCCCGGACTGATTCAAAGTTCTAAAACTCTATTTCTTTATCTTCATTGATAGTGACAAATTGGTGTCACGTGGCTCAAATATATTTTTTTCAACGATGATCACAAGACAATTCACTTTTCCTTCCTCTGAAAGGTTTATACGAAAGGAAACAAACGATAAGAAGTTATAAAATATCTTCTGTGAATCTGAGATGAAATTGTTCTTAAACTTTCTGTGTAACAATCTGTTTCGACCTTTTCAATGTGGCCTCAGCTCCGTAAACGTGTAACAACAGAAAAGTAGAGTTTGTCCTTACTTTATATAGTAACGAGGTGTTTTTCGCCACCTTGGTAGTAGAAAAAACGATAATATTTATTGAACGGTTCAATAAGCCAATCACATTCAAATTTGTACTTTAAATCAACCAATCATATTCAAAGTTGTAGTTTAAATCAACTAGTCACAACCTTGGTTTAAATCACCGTAGAAACAGTATACAATTTTTTTTACAATTTTCCCTTTCTTGGCTTTTCTTTTTTACTCGGAATTTTTATGATTAACTGGTAGTAAGAGTTCGTGTCGTCCAATTCTATTGGTAATTATACTCGTGATAAACAAATCGGACTCCCGCTGTGCCGTCGTCCGATTTTGTTATTTTGTTTTGTTGTTGTTACCGACCGAATTGGACTCCACTCAGTCCTATTACCACTGCAAAATATTTGCTCCTCATTATAAACAGTAAATCTAAAACAAAAAAAATTGAAAAAATTAATTTCCCATATTCAATTTTCCATTTCATTTTCCCATTCCCCATTCCCAATTCCCGCTTTTAGTAACATTCAACGCTGAAGTAATAATTTCAAAATGGTGTTTTATTTATAAATTAGTAACAAATCAATCACATAAATTTAATCAGCTTGATATAGCTTCACAAAGAAAATTTATTGTAACTGTCATTTGATACCATCAAGGTACAATTAAATTACAATTTTGCGATGCTCGCTTCTGATATAAAAAACAAGTAATAGGCGGCTCAGTTTTATCATGATAATGAATCATCTATCGAACCTTTGATCTTCTTATTTTTGTTTATCATTTGGATATTTACATCAATTTTTTTTCTTTGTTAAAAATTAACCATGTCGTCCTACATTCACTGCTGTGATTCTTGGCAGTACTCTAAGTCGTTTCCTTCAGCATTTTCAAGTTTGCATTCGATTCCAGCTCCCCTCAAAGCAAATGCTTCCCCTGAAACTGTGACACGTGACTGTTGGAGATCTCCAGACACTTTCCGGTTCCGAGATCCAAAGCAGTTTGTTAATGTCCTCCACATATAACGGCGAAACGTTGTGTCTTGAGTAGCATATATAGCAGGATTAACGGTAGAATTTATTGATATGAACACATAAGAAACAACACGAAACACCTTCTCAGAGGAGTTCACACTGGTCTCAATTGTTGCTGTGTCATTTATTAGTAGAAACATCTCAAGAAAGTAGTAGATCAAATTGGGCAGCCAAGATATTCCCAGGACAACAGTTACTACTAACACAGCCTTGGTAACTCTTTTTCTCGATTTAACCATCGTGCGCTGAGCTGTGCTTGTGGAGTGGTCAGCAGTGAACCATAATCGGCGTACCACGCGCCCATATAGGATTCCCATAGTTCCTAGCGGAAATAAGCCGATAGCAAACAGCCACATGGCTGAGTCTGCTCTTCCTAGCCAGTCAGGAAAGTCCCATGCACAGGATTGGATTTGTTCATCGTAATGTAATACCCACGTTTCCGGTAGAAGAAAGATAACGGACGCAACCCATGAAATGATGATTAACTTCCTCAGCTTTCCTTTCGTCATGCGTCCTCGGGGGTTGTGTGGATGAATTATAGCGACATATCGTTCCCATGCTATAAATAGCAATGTGATCACCGCTGCGACTGATGCCACCCACGATAGGTTGGCATGTGTGAAGGTTTTACATAAAATATCTCCAAGCCATCCCCCTGGCTGTTTAAATTCAGTAATAAACAGTCTTCGTGGAATAAAGAACACTGCAAACAAGAGATCGGCTAGAGCGAGATTAGCCAATAAGTAATTCATTGGAGTATGCATCCTACGATTTCGTCGAACCACATGGATTACAAGTGAGTTGCCAAGTAAATTAATGGTGAGCATCAAAGAGAAGACGATTTTGAAGATGATATCGGTGGTCGATGACATTTTCAAGACTGACCAAGCCTAGCACGCTCTCTTGGTTAAGAGATGTCCCTACAATTGATAAAAGAGGAAAAAGAAAGTTTGAAAGGAAATTATACATTACCCACTTCTTTTTCGTGGGAACAATAGATTTACAAGGGTTGAATTACTTGTAATAAACACCTTTATATTAATTACAAACAAAATGCCTAAAGGCAGGTCTTAATATTTAGGTCGGTAGACAGAATAACCAGATCAGCCAAAACGCGTTTCCCGATACACATCAGCTGAGCTCTGTTTGACAACTTTATCAAACTGAACGAAGAAGTTTAACCACAACTAAATAAAGCTAGAACATTAACACTTCAGTTGTAGCTACTATTTCGGCACAGGCGTGTAAAACTCTAAACAGTCAAGTTATTTAAATTCAATTTTTTCATAATGACGATCTCTATTTTATATCTTTGCTACAAAATTTAATCATCCAGTTTTGTTCGTCTTACAATTTTTCTATCCCTGTACTTCTTAGATATTTCTGTGCGTAATTTAAGTCCTCATGTGTACCGTTACATGGAGCAGTTGTTGCTGTCTTTAGACAAGTTTATCACTCGTAGTGAAATTGAGGACATCTGTAGCACCTAGCACAACAACAACTATACATGCGTTCGTATTTACCGGCTGCATAATCTTGAAAATACGTTTCAAATGAATTGAAACCCAAATGCATCCGCATGGCTATGATCTTAAACAAATAAAATTCACCGAAGGAGTGAGAAGCAAAATGTAAAGCTGTTTTAGAGAATAACATTGTCAAAGTCGGCAAACATCTCATAATAAATTATGCGTGGGAATTGCTACATCTTCTCAAACTATACAAGAAACCAAGTCTATGAAGACTTTGAATTTTAAAAAAATAAAGAAAACTGAATGATGATTACAACTCCTGAAGAAACTACTAAAAACCACCTTCTGGAAATCACAGGTCTGCTGAGGAGAGAGATTTCTCAGTTGACTCGTTTTTGAGTTTTCTTTTCTTTTCTCATTTTAAGAAGTTGGTTTTTTCCTGTTTTAACAAAAAACGTGAAAGCTCCTTTCCTCGTCTGTCGAAACATAAGACCTGATGAAACTGAAGCGTAAATCGAAACCGGATATGTAGTGTATCACCACAGAAGTTTAAGAGCGAATAACTACTGGCACATTACCTGAGTTTGAAGGAAAACGTACGTTCTTCTAAACATCACTTATGAGGAAATTTCCAGAATTATCAAATTATTTAAACATGATATGCAAAATAAACATGATGAAAGGTGCTAGATATGTCATGTTTATTAAAATACCTGTTAACTTGCACGTTTGTGAAAATTAAAAGTCTTCAAACTAGAGTAAAAGAGAAGTAAAGTCCTTCAAATTTTTGAGCACATATTTGAAAATCAGAGGACGGAGCTGTACTGTCAAAAGAAATTTCAATAAAACTCTAATTTTTTGGCGCAGCTTTTTCGTGATAATTAGATGCCTGTTTTTCATCATTTGTGCCTCTTATTACTTAAAGTCTTCCTGTTTACTTATTTTAGCCGTTCGTTGATCTTCGTTTATCTCATATTTATTTCATACAATTTTACGCTCGCCTTTGCAAAGAGAGCGCAAAGATAAAAAGTATTTTAAAAGTATTTTTATTAGTAGAAAAAATAGCGATAGAAATCTAAATAAAACTGCTTGAGAATTTTAAGCTGGAACTTTAGACCTATTATTTTATGACAAATCTCATTGCGTGTATTATTTCGAATACTTTTTGCCTACAATTTTTGTTTTATTTCCCACCACATAAAGCTAGTCGGGGTTAAGAGACCCATTATGGATCCGAAACTATAGTGGAAGCAGACGTCATTCAAAAATAATTGTTTAAAAACATATGTGGGCCCAGCGATACGACAAGGCAAGCAGCCTAAATGCCTTTTTATTCAATATTTAATGATCACAGCGATAATCAATAGCGAAATGAAACGGGAATTAAATTCTTAGTCCTTCGTATACTAACTCTAACGGGATGTATACGTTAGGTTTTTAGTGGCAAGATGGACTTTTGTTTACTATATAAATGTGTCAATGGGCAACGTGTCATGATGAATTAACCTTCGCTCGATCGTCATCTCTACCACGTATTCTCAGTCTTCTGTCCGAACAATCACGAGTTTCGATGAGATAGGCGATAAATTTGCGCTCTGAAACATCATTTTCTGTCAGTCATTTAAGTTTATAGAGCGTTATAATTATTCTTTTTTTTTAACGGTAACATGCAAATTGATTCTGGAGTGGTATATATTGACAGAAAAGTCTCTCAAACACTCGAATTTTAATGAATAATTTTATTTTATTTACACGAGAAACAATTGCAAGTCAAATTATTCGTTTTTGTAAGCATTGTGCTTGCCTGTTGATATTCCTTTTTCTTTAAAATGAAATTAATTTATATCTTTGACAGTTTTCGTTATAAAGCACCAAGTAATAGGAAAAGGAATTGCGAGTCTCTTATTGCGTTAAACACATCAATTGTTAACTAAAGCATAGCCAAGAATTCTGTGTTGTCTTGTCTGTGTATCAAAGAGTTGATAGTGAGAAACAGTAAAACAACAGAATCTTGTATCATAGCATGTATTTAGAACGGAGACGAAATTAAAAGCAGCCTTTATAACGAAACTGATAAAGCAAAAGGTTAAAGTTAATCCGTTTTATCCTTTCGGTAGCCTTTACACAAGGATCTTCTTCCTTGGCAACATAACAGCTGTCCAAACCATCTTCCTACACACGTTAACTCAATTTCAAGTTTTCTTTTACTTCAAGAAATTTAAGGTGAGTAAAGCGGATATTAGAAAGTGAAAGATGTTATTTACTTACCAATGTTTCTGTTCTTTCCCCAGCACTGACCTAACTTTGAATTCTTTTCGTTGAAAACCGTTCAGACCAGATGCAGTGGTGTTGGCGTTTCAAGTTTTAAGTTTTCCTGGTGGGATCTAAGAAATAAAAAACCGATTGTTTTCACAACTGAAGTGTTTCAAGGTGCAAGCTTGAAAACCCGCAGAACTTTATGTCGCTTCAGTTATGACACTGACAACCATCGTGCATAAATTTGCTTTGTCATCTCAAATTGTTTCTGTAAATTAAACTCCACATACGATTAAATTCAAAATTATATTTGTCCACCAATCGGAGCACTCAATATCAGTATTTGTTTTGGCTCTCTAGTAAATGCAGTTTTGGAATACAACTGCGTGCGAGGTAAATAAGAGTGCTATCTAATGATTACCCGAGCTCTTAACCAAATCAGAGATAACCTGTGTCCAAAATCTTTTATTTTGTGTTCATATAGACATAATCGTTCGACCGCATGGACGGAAATTTATCGTTGTGTGGATTACCAACTGCGGAAATAAATCTAAGCCGTGGGCCACCTTTGTTGATTGACATGTGGAGATTCGAAGGGAAAACAATGAGGTTTTGTGTAAATCTTACTGAATTCTGCAATTGTCTCTCAAATATTTGCGAAAATATTTTGATGTTAAAATGTAAAGTAAGAATTGCCACTTACAGTCGGAATTCCTTAATCTCCATTTTAGACGAAAACGTTTTCTGTTTTGTTAAAGTTGGGAAACCCTCCAGGCAACCGATATTAATAACCGGTGAAAAATCATCACTACATCGTTCTTAGACCATATTAAGAAGCTCTTTTTTAACGAATAGCTGAATTTCGATAAGGAAACAGCGAGAACTATCGAATACTTCGTATTTAATGGAGAAAATTCAAGATCAGGCGACATTTTAATAAAACGATGATTACTGATTCGCAAGAAGGCTCAAATCTCATGGTGATTTCTTAACAAAATGTATATCATTAGTGATGTTGTCGATAGAGGAGGCCTCCATCATTTGAAATTTGCTGGCTACCACAACAAAAATGCAAATCCTAACTTTATTACTGAAGTTATCGCTCGTGTTAGCTCTCCAGGTATGATTTAAGGAATTATCTACAGGTCATTTTGAAAATGAATACTGATGTTTATGCCCGTAAATGATATGACTAACTACACGAGCAGGTAAAATAAAGCAAATCTTGTGATTGGCTTCTTAGACGTGCGATAAAAGCTTATCCTCAGGGCATTTGCAATGATGGAGTGGCATAACATCGCAACCCCTTCGTCTTGAATAATCAAGTTCTCAAAATAAGGAAAACCTCACACTTGAACTTGAACCTTGACTTGGAACCCTTTGAGTGTATCACTAATATTTTGGCTGTATGATAAATTCTTTATCGTCAAAGTGGTTTTTTTTTCGACTGAAAAAACGAGACATTGTCCCGGTCTCTTTTTTTTATTCTGGATTTTACTCGTTTGAAACGCAAAAAAACCAACAAGGCCAATATCCAGTCCTCTTAACAGAATAAGCTCGGTCATTAGCATATATTCAATTTTAATAACAATTTGATTATCTCGTTAATGCTTATTCATCGTCGATATTTGCCATAAATGTTTTATTTTTTGGCAAAAGAACCTCAAAAAAATACTTCGCCTGAAATACAGGAAGCAGGAATCCTCAAGTGAAAGCAAACAAACAGAATATAATAAAGGTGGAGTGGGAGGAGAGGTGTTCTATCACTTGTCAAAGGGAACCACAGAAAAACTCACGAAACCAGGTTTAATTTAGTACAGAGAGAAATAAATAATGTCTTGAATGACAGAGAATCCTCCAACTCTTAATCATAGGGTCTTTTATGAGATCAGTAAGTGGTAGAATTTAGCGTGAGTTTTTCTTGTTAAGGAGGTCATGTGTATTATTGATGTAATGAATAACGTCACAGCAAACAAGAAGCTACATGTAAAACATGACGAACGGAAAAAAGAACTTTGAGAGGAAGATGTTCAACTTGCTATAGACGTTCAACTTTTAAATAAAAAATGAAAGCTGTCGTCAACAGTTGTTGATCCACTCTGTTTTTTATCCAATGTTTTTATTGCTTACGTCATGGTTAATGACTACTTTGTGACACTAATGGGTTTGAGGCACAGACAGCTGTCAGCTCCTCAAACAAAAATTAGCGAAAATCTTGGATCTCGAATTGTTCATGGAGTCTACAAGCACTCAATTATTTCTTGATTCCGCTTGTCAAAAATTTTTAAAAAAATATTTTCAATGAAAGTAGTTATAATTACAATTCCTAAACGTTACCCAGAAAGACATTAGTATTGAAATGAGCGAAATAAAAGGGCACCAGTGAGCGGCGGCGTCTTTGATGAAGATTTCTCTCAGAAGCCAGAGGCGAGAGATAACTCTACACGTATAAACGGCCTGGCACTGCCGGTTAACGGAATACCGTTAACAGTCAAACGAACATACACTAGTTGGTTAATAATCGCCCAGAGGAATATGCGGTTTCTCCAACTCGAACATCGCATTGTACCCAAACAGAACAAATTTTAATTACCTTAGAGCTCGGAAGGAGTCTTGAACCATGGAGGATGTTAAAACATGAAAGTCTTTCCGGGTCCGAAGTTCTTCTTAGAAACGAAACTTAGTTGAATTTCTAATCATTTATTTATAAAACACTAATTTGAGCAAGAATTAAAATTCATTTCACGTTCACGTCTGAAGATTTAATTATGTTTTTCATCTCTTTGTCCTTGTCAAGGCCGTTTTGCTCGTGAACATTTTTAATAATAAACCTTTTTATAGGCGTTTTAACTAGCCTTTTGAGTGAATAGCTACAAAGTTTGTTGGTGAGGTGCATTCAAATTTTACACCCACAAAGGAAAAGAACTGAAAAGAGTATTCCGTGGACGGTGCTAGATTGCTAACGCGTCACTAAGCAGAACAAATAAAAGAGAATATCCTCTTTAACAGCGGACTTAACCCTAAGCAATTTTTTAAAAAAAGTGTGGTTTCCTTAAATCTCCAAAATAAAGTGGATGTTACTATCTTTCTTTATTTGACAAGGACTGCTTTGAACCTGTGGGAAACACTTCAACGTTTAGATTTTTGGAGTGAAGGTTTGCCAATTTGTTTGTTATTAATTACTGGCTGGCAACTGGAGAACGCCCTCTAAGTGTCGAAACTTAATCAACGTTTTTCAGATTGAGTGAAAACCTTTTAAGCCACTGTATGATATGTTACCTGGGTAAAGGTGCATTTCAAATAAACTTTTCTCGGCATGATTGCCCTTGGCGATTAAGGTAATCCTGAAAAGATGCCACTAACGGAAATTGACGTTTAGACAAAAATGAGCGGAAGCCATCTGAATAAAGTGGAGAAGTGTTTATCTGTGGAGTGTTTTAGCTAATGGAAGAGTGAGCGAAATCCCCTTTAACGGCTGGAATTTTTGACCTCTGAAAAGTCACGGTTAATTACGCTCAGTGATTTGAATAAAATTTGGCATAACACTTCATCTTAGTGTCTGATTAGGAAATGAACGGTATAATGTTTCGTTTCATTTCGTGAATATTTACTCAACAGCTGAATGCAATAAAAAAAATCGATTTTGTCGTTTGTCTTTTCAAAAGGTAAATTTCTAAAATTTCGTCTTTGTACTAAGAATAATTACCTTAAAAGGAAAAACGTGACGATTCCCGAGTCTATCCGAATGTTAATGTGAATCTATTTTAAATATAAACACATACGCAATTAATCTGGTTTCCACAGTAAGTTTTGATTTCAGTGAAGATTTCCCCCAAGTTTCGTTAAATGAGGTAGGTGTGAGGATCAATTTGAAAATAACCCCACAAAAATACATCTCCTGGACGTTTTCCTGCTGACAAGAGAACGAAGACTGTTGGAGTGAAATTGGTGTAAGAGTGGCTCTCGAAATGTATTTAGTGCGCAAGTGCCGCATTATTAGGGAAAAATTATGGTTATTATAAAAGTCATTTGACGTATTTGCAAGACATATTTTTTGAGGTAAATGAATGAGGGTTAGTTTCAATTCTATTGTCTACATTCCAGTTTCCTTTATCTGAACATAGTCTTACGTGCACATATCTGCTAGTGGGAAGTTAAACTTTTACAGGGTGAGGCAACTCTGTATTAATTATTTGGTCAAACAGATGACGTGACGGAAAAGTTTGCCAAATGACGTCACAGTATCGATATCGAAGAAAAATGTCTGCAATCTTGCTCAGTATCAAATTGATCTTAAAATTCGGTCCTGGCTCAGTCTCTTTAGCTCCCCGTTCACGCAATCCCCAGTAAACACATTGGCAATAGTGAATGTTCGGGCCCAAACCCGCAAAGGACGAATTGTGAGAGCCCCAAGAAATTGGACATGTGACTCAGCTACCTCACCCCAACATCGTTGAATCATTAAAGTAATTGCTCGATCTATAAAGTTAAACATTCGTTTTACAGTCAAGAGAGTCGATCAGAAGAAGCACAGCGAATACATGCTGAATTTAACAATGAAAGCTACTCTAAAGGGTGCCGTGAAAAGAGACTACGAATAGGGCCTCTTAGTTTCACGGATCAAAACCTGGTCATTTGAATGAGTGCAACTCTGTTGTAATGTTTTTAAGACTGTGTTGTATTTTTTTTATTGCTCCACAATTCACAATGCACAGTCCCTTGTTATCATTTTCAGCAGATTCCTTATTGATAACAGTACGGTAAGATAACAATGTAATGGCTATTATGTTCATTATTATCATCATCACCATCCTCATAATCATCATCATCGTTATTATCATTGTTGCTAACAGATCAATTGACGTGAGCAAGTCCAGAAACAACCGTTCTGAAATGCAACCGTCCGGTTAATTTGCTGTTGTCGCAAAAAATAAGAGTCAGTTGGAGACACTTTAAATGCATCTCATTCGATGGTTTAATATATAATACGCGCGGATATTTTGCGAGTTGCAAGACGGCCGGAAAATTGCAAAGTGTTGTGTTCAAAATTCTGAAAGTTGTCACATTCAAAACAAAATCTTCTAAAAATAATATTTACCGGGAAAAAGAATGCCCCTTGATTGGTGAAGTTCCACTTTCAGTTTTAATTTACCATCCTTAATTGGGATCGTGGTTGGGAATCGTAGAATTGCTCACTCGAAAGCTCTTTCCGTCGCTTTTAAGGCTTAAAAACCATCACTTTTCAAATCAAAAATCTTTCCATAGATTTACTTTTCATTCAGTGTTCTTAAACGCATGTCTCAATCGGGATAGATCGGAACATTTCAAAACTCGCCGCCGAACTGGTCGGAAAGTTCGCAGTTAATAATGGAGAAAAATTTTCAATAACGAGGCATTTGTTTGCAAACGTCATTGGCTTGCACAATGAGATTATGAATCACGCTCGCGCTATTGGATTTTGGTACCCGAATTTCCTGTGTTGTATTGCGATATATTTTTAGTTACTCGCCGTTGCAGTCAAAATGAGTCTATTTTTCTCAGAAGGAATGAAGATAGCGAGGGAGAAATGGGATTGGAACTGATTTAAAACAAAAACTTTGTTGGGCAAAGAAGCGCGCTGTGTATCTCCGCAAATCCGGATCCTCTGAGGTGATCAAAGTGAGCAGATCTCTCAGCGTTGCAGAACCCAAGTTGATCTGTATTATAATATAATTAACTGTCACTGTTTGACTTTATTGTCGTATTAATCATACTATGAAGGTTCCTTACGATAATGATTAAGCTCTGTTCTTCCCCTTTGTTTTTACATATCTTTTATTTTTCTCGTATGAAATCACTCACGCGTACGGTCCTTTCAATTTTGATTTAGACTTGGTAGATTCCTTTGTTTAATCTGTTAGTCATGAAACCGCACTCGCCACCAACTGGCTCGATCCGGTTGCCGATTTTTGGTTCTTTACTCAGTGTAGCAAAAATTTCGTGGAGTCAATGTGAGAAATTATAACATACTGTTTTTCTTTATTACATTTTAATTGCCACAGTCTCAGTCGTAGGTGACTTTGATAAATTCAAGCTATGCTCAATGCTTCGTAACTTATACAATTATCACTTTAGCTCATGGTGTGACGTAGTCATACCGTGAGGTTAACGTATGGACCTAAAATTTGCTCACTCTCTTGCTTATCTACTCACTCACCCGATTTCAGTTTTATCTGTCAGACAATTAATTTATGCATAACAACTTTGATTAAACCCGTTATCCCCTGCCTCCCCCACTAGGTTTGTTTCTGTTACCAAAGTTGTGCTACCGTCTTCTGATCATATATCTGGAGGCAGGTGGGACAAAGGTGGGAATGTTTGCGTGAGTACATGAAGTTATCGACATAAATCAAAATTGCATCCGTCGCAGCCGAACGCTGAAATGAATATCGAAATAGTTGGTTTTTCCTTCTTTCAACATGCAAAAAGAATACTAAACAGGAAAGTAAAGAGCCTCAAGTCTTAAAATCAACTAGAGACACAAAATTGTTGCTGAAAATCCAGTTTGTGCCCACGAAAGTAATAAAATTTAATATTTCGCTAATAAGATTCACGCAACCAAACCAGGAGCGAAATGGCTGACAAGGTAATAGCGTAACAAAGAAAGGTAAAATCCAACGAGATACGTAACATCTCAAAACAGGTCAAATCAGATAGGCTGAATGAATATTGTAAAGACTCAGAAGATAGTAAATCAGCCGTAAAACGTGCAATATAGAGCCAAATGGGAGTCAAACACTTCGCGAAAATCATCTTGAAGACAAGACTGGTTAAATTCATTTACGCGGAGCCACAAAAATCTTTATCTCAGCTGTTGGGACTGTTATCAAGGTAAATTTGAAGACCTTGGAGTTCTTTTCTTTCTTACTTTCTTGGGCACAGATTGCACGCTTTTAAAGATGACAATCAAATGGTCATTCAAGGTTCGTCATGCGTTATGGGAGGGGATGGCAAACGGTTCACGTACTCATCTCTTAGTTTTATAGTAAAGACATAACACAAAGTAGCCTCAAGGAGCTTTTGATTATCTCATGGTATGACTTACTTTGAAGTTTACCTATGGACCTAACATTCACCCCCTCACTCAATCACTCGATTCTTATCTGTTGGATAATTAATTTGTGCATTAAAACAAAGGAAACTGGGTATTAGCCTTCACCTTTTTGCTTTCTTTTTTTCGGTTTCGCACGTTTTAACTGCAAATAACGAATGAAAACAATATCCAGTCCTTTTATCCGAATGAGCTTGGTCATTAGTGCATATTAAATATCAATTTGATCATGTTGGTAATGTTTATTCACCGTTGACGTATGTCAGAAATCTTTCATTTTTAAGGCAAAAGATTCTCAAAGAGAGTAGTTTACAAAAATACCGGAACGAGGAACCCTCGATTGAATTTTGGCCATACAGATTATATTATGGGTGAAGCGGGACGAGAAGAGTGTGCTATAACCCTCTATCACTTGTCAAAGGGGAACCGGAGAACAATTGACGAAACCACGTAAAAGTTTATTACAGAAGCCATGAAATAATTCCCGAATGATATAGGCTCATCCAGCTCTTGACTGTTACTAGCAGAATGTAGCGTGAGTTACTGCGATCATGTGTATTCGGTGCAATCGATCACTTCACCGCTAGAACCGCAAAGCTACACAAACTAAAACACGAGGAAATTGAAAGAAAACTAAGAACGGAAGATGTTTAACGTGTTGCAGACGTTCCACTTTTAAATTGAGAAAGGAAAGCTGTCTCTAACAGTTGTTAATCCACTCGATGTTTTTATTGCGGACGCCGTGGGTAATGACTTCTCATGCAAAAATTAACACAAGATCTACAAATAGTTTTGGAATCATAAATGGAGTATACATGTACCTCTTAATTTCCCTTGTCAACGATTTTACCTTATTTTACGATAAGTCGGATAATAATAATTCCCTAAATCTTTCCCAAAAACACATTAGCATTGAAATATAACGAAAATAAAAGAGTACCTATGAAAACAGCATCTTTGATGAAGATCTCTCACAGAAGTCGGTGAAAGAACATATACTGGTTGGTTAATAATCGTCCAGAGAAATCTACCGTCTCTTCAACTTCAGCATTGAATTGTACCCCAACAGACCAAAATTTACTTACCTTAAAGCTTGGAAGGAGTCTTGAACCACAGAGGATGTTAAAGTCTTTTCGGGTTCAAAGTTCTTCTTAAAAACTAAACTTAGTTTGAATTTCTAATCAGTTAATTATGAAAGCAATATTTTTAGTGAGGATTAAAATTCATTCCACGTTCGCGTCTGAAGAGTTAATTACGTTTCTATATATTTTGTTGTTAAGAGAGCCATTATGCACTCCCTTTGTCCTCGTCAAGGCCGTTTTTTAAAATTGAACCTTCGTAGAGGCGTTTTAACTAGCCTATTGATTGAATAGCTACAAAGTTTGCTGGTGAGAGGCATTCAAATTTTACTCCCACAAAGCGAAACTGAAAAATGTATTCCGTGCACGGTGCCAAATTGCTAACGTGACACTATATAGAACAAATAAAATAGAACATCCTCCTTAGCAATTAACTTCAGATTAAAGGAAGAAAAAAACGGATTTCCTTAAATTGACATATGTTTGACAAGGACTGCCCTGAACCTGTGAGGAACACTTCAACGTTTAGTTTTTAGGAGTGAAGGTTGGCTCATTTTTTTGCTTTTAATTACTGGCCGGCGTTTTATTGTCTGAAACTGCAGAACGGCCTTTTTGGTGTCAGAAAATTATTAATATTTTTTGAATCGAATGAAACCCTTAAAGTCACTATATGATTTATTGGCTGAGCAAAGTTGCATTTCAAATAAACTATTCGCGGAATTATTGGTCCCGGTGATAAGGGTAATCCTGAAAACATGCAAGTGACGGAAATTGATGTTGCGACAAAAATGAGCGGAAGCCATTACCTGAGTCAAGTGGAGAGGTGTTTATCTATCTAGTGTTTTGTCTGATAGGCAAGTGAAAGAAATCCTCTGAGACAGCTTGAATTTTTGACCTTTTGAGAGTTGCGGTAAATTTCGCCCACCGATTTGATTAAAATTTGGCATAACATTTCATCTCAAGGTCTGATGAGGAAATGAACTGCGTAATGTTTCGTTTTGCGAACATTTACTCAGTAGGTGAATTCAATGAATAGGCGATTCTGTCGTTTAAAGGGATAAACTTCAAACATTTTGTGTTGTAAGCATAATTTCCTTTTATAGAAAAACAGGACATAACCGAGTCTGTCCGAATGTTTATGTAAATCAGCTTCAATTTCTTTTCATTGAATGTAATTTACCAAATCTCCATAACAAGTTTTGAATTCATTGTGGACTTCCACCAAGTTACGTAAAAGGGACTTGAGTGATTCTGAGAGGTCGACAAATACAACCATGAAAAGAGGCCTGATGATATTGAATAAGAGGATTTCTGAAAAACCTCTAATCAGTGAATCGCAAAGCCTTCTTTTATCATTCGCTCAGTTTTGGAGGGTTTTGACGAGTTCTCGCACCCTCAGGTAAATTTTCTTTTGGGTTTTTAGACAAGCCAGCCATAACTGAAGAATACGAACAGTTGTAACTGCTTTATGACCTAACTCCTTTACCATTCATTAACGGAAAAGAGAAATTTCAGCTACTTTACTGGTAATCAAAAACATTGTGATAAAAAGCAGTGTTATTTTGATCAGCAAACGTTTCATCTGCGTGGTCATTTGATCATTGACCGCTCAGGAATCATTGTTCATTTTCCTGTGATGGGTTAAGTTTTTTTTTAAGTGACCTCAGAAGCAGCTTTAGTAAGGAAAAGTCATCTAATTTCACCGATTGATGAGTAGAAAACCGCGCGCGCAACATCAATTACGTTTAATTGATTAGTCTCTGTGACGTCAATTAACAGACACATTCAAACCTTTCTCACAATTTGCGTTTATGCCTTCCGTCACAGTGTGGCAGTCTTTTTTGCTGCATGTTAATGAAATCATAAACCGTCTATGGGAAAGATGTAATGGAAAATGATCTTTGTAAGTAACGGAGTTTCAAAGGTAAATCTTAGTTTAGCGTTATCAGGTTTTAGAAAAGCGAAAAAGCACATCAAACTCACTATCGACCCTTGCAGTGTGATAGCCACTAAAAACGCTTTTTTTCCTTACATGAGAAGGCTAGTGTGACCTTTTCGCGGTTGAAAAAGTGGCGCATCGTTTTCCGGAACAAACACATAGTGTAGTAACGCCAAGGTAATACGGCATTGCGTTTGACGCTGAACTGAAAATTTCGCAAATCGCACTGCCTTGGTTCGGATTCTCAGAATAGGCCAGTGGGTAAGCTATCTAGAGGTCAGCTTGTATTTCGTATCGTCCTACCGTATTTCACCTCGTTTTCCGAAAAAGATTGAAGGGATCATTTTTAAAAATTCATCAACAAAAAGGAGGCCAGATTCCAAACCGTCCGTAAAATATATATATTGAACTTGTTAAAATAACCACAACATTTGAATAAAATAAAAACTCAGATTGTTTTTTAAATTCTAAACAAAGTGGTAGCAAATTTGCACGAAACAAAGTTCAAAACAACTAAAAACAACTCCGTAAATCAAAAAAAATTATTACGAGGAAATCTCCACGTCAATTTTCAATGTGAAGGTCAGTTAAAGTTCTTTGATGTAGTTGGCTCATTTTTTCTCGCGCACTGGATCTTTGACTGACATTGGAAGAAAATTCTTGTTTCGGACTTTTCACACAAGTTGTCCATGTGTATGACCCTCGACACCTTGAATGAGCAAGCCTGTCAGAATCTTTATCATCCCGGTTGTTCAGTGGGGTTATTCAACCTCAACATTTTGGTTTTTTTCAAACCTCCGGTTCTTTCTGAAGTACTGGTCGGGATCCATTCTCTACATTGGGAGACTATGTTTGGCATCAGACAAAACCCTATACATTTTTTTTTCACGTTCCACATAGATGATTCAGGAATGAGGAAATGCGAAGTGCAGCAGAGGGACGGCTGAAAGAGTACAATAAACCGGCCTTATCCTGGGTTACAAGTAAAGAGTATGTAAATCACGTTTATACCAAAAACACGAAGTTGAAGTTTCCTGTAGTCTGAGGTGTGTTTTGATAGTGGTAAAAAAAAGGTATCATTAGTTTTACGCTCCTTTACTTTTTGAAAAAATGTGGTTCAGGCCTTCAGTTGAAATGGTTTCTACGGATTGGATATTGAATGCAACAGAACGCATCAACGTACTCGGTGGATGCTAATTCAAATGTTGACAATAATATTTGCTGTACAAAAGTTAGGAAACAACATAATCTTTCGGATTGACAGAATAAAAGAGGAACAACGATGTAGGCTCGTGTTTTTTACTCTTAACCGTTTATCAGATGCGTTTACAACTTTGTTTCTCAACATGCGTCCGCTGGATCGAACTGTCCGGCTAAATGTATATTACGGAGTCTTAGATCCACGTTTGTTTCTGAATACGTTTGACCGCAAACGTCTGGGAGTCACGTGACCAGACTTCAGCTGTCACGCTCGCCGTTTGTTGTACACGTTTGAACTTCCCGCAAGGCAGTTTCAGGTTGTTGAACTCCCTCGACGCTTTTTTTCTTCCTGTTGGAAAGTTCTCAAGTATATCCTACAAATATATGTGAGGTAGTCTTTTCTTTATTTTTTTTATTATTATTTTTTTTTTAATAGTATCTCTTTATTGCGCCGTACTCTCCAAAGGGAGATGTTAGTCTACTTACAATAAAGTTCAATAATACAATATGAATAACATAAAACGATAACTTTACCATATCCGAATACAATACGTTGATTGAAAAGCTATTACTGCTAAATTACATTTGTGCATTGAGACTTTGATACATTAAATGAGGAACTATAACAAAAGTGAAAAAAGAAAAAGAACGTAAGGAGTATTATTTGAAGTGTTTTGGTGAGAGTTTCACTGTTGGCAGGTGTACCACTAAGTTTTTTATTTATTTACTTTTTTATTATTTAAATTTTGTTTTTATTTTATTTTGTATTTTTTAAAGAGAGTTGAGATATTTTAACCGTAGTTTAGTCTTTTCTTTATAAACAATCCATTTGGGACACTAGAAAACCAATTTTTTAGCTACATTTTATGTTTGAAATGAAGGACCTCCATCCTTTGCGTAATTCAAGATGGCGGCACAAGTTTTTTTTTTTTTTTCAGGTGAAAGTCGACGTCGATCAAAAAAGCTGAATGTCTCGAAACTTCTAACTTCTAAGTAGAAACTGCTGACCGCGGTTTGACGTTTTTGGTGAGCACACCAAACGTGGATCTAAAACTCTCTCTTGAATTATTTTCACCCTGACTGTCCGACCCCGACGCATGCTGCGTATGCCAGCGATAAAAGGTAAGAGATTTCATGCCCTCAAGGTAAATATTTTGCCTCTTCATTGATTATGTTGGATAGCTGGAGAATGTAATGTTGAGTAGTTAAAACTGAAGCAGAACTTGCGACGAATGCTTGGTGGGAAATGTGTCCTTCTGATAATTTTCTGAAAATTAAACCAGGATGCTAGACGGTGATTAAGCTTTAGGGTGAAAAGTAAGAATACAGTGAAGAGTGGTGTCAAGAATAATTCCTTATTTCAAAATTCTTGATTAGAAAGTCATATTTCATTGAAACATACTCTTCGTCTTCTTCCCAAGGTAAACTCTCTAGCAAGAGAATTTTGTCCGCCATCTCAGTTCTGGAATTTCACTTCCAGTAGATCATTCTTTTTTAATGAACGTCGTTTTTCTTGTAGCCGGCGATCGCTTAACGTAATGAAAGAAAGGAATTCGTTTATCAACCACTGTCACCCTGAGATTAAAATTTGCCTTCTTTTCTAGAAAGGTTTCGAGTAAGGTTCCATTTTGTTCTCAGGTAATGGACATATAGCCGTCATAGGAGGAACAATCCACCGAGAAGGCATCAGCTTGCTCGGTGGATTGTTCTTCCAATGTTGACTATGATCTTTGCTATGCAAAGGTTAATAAGCAACGTGCTCTGTTGTGTAATTTTTGTGTACTTTCACTTTGGCGTCAAAGGGAGCAAGTTGAATTTCGCTGTGTGTGTTTCGCTGTGTACTTTTTGTGTACT